AAACGTGGTTTTTTAAAAAGTTTTTTTTAAGTATTTTATTATTAACTCAGCTTCGCGTGGATGTGTTTGTTGTTAAAATTGACATCGAAAATTAGCCCACTTCTGATTGCTCTATAGATCTGAAATTTGGCATGCAGGTTACTTTCGCCTAACAATTTCAGATGCAATCATAAAAACTAGCAATTAGAGACCGTAATTAGCTTAATTTAATTACGCCCAAAGGACCATAAAATTGAGGACATCATTTCTAAAGATACCGACAAGACTGGAGGCTTGTTGACACAGTTACTTCGGCCCCAATCGATGTGAGCGCGCTGGCCGTGATCGTATAGTGGTTAGTACTTCGCGTTGTGGCCGCGACAACCCAGGTTCGAATCCTGGTCGCTTAAGATTTTTTTAGTCCGTGTATTTATAAACACTTAGTCAATTCATACTTAATCAAGTCATTAGATAAAGTAGAAAATAAACTACATAAAAAACTTTTTTAAAAAACACGTTTTTCATGTGTAGCAACGGACTAAAAAGGAGAAAATAAAATACTTAAAAAAAACTTTAAAAAAAAACACGTTTTTCTTGTAGTTGTAGACTAAAAAGTAGAAAATAAATTTTTCTTTTCTACTTCCTCGAGCTGTGCAGATTCTTGTGATGACTGACAAAAAACGTGGGTCGGGCAGATGGGTCGGGAAATTTGATGGTGAACGTACCCACGTTTTTTGTCAGTCATCACAAGAATCTGCACAGCTCGAGGAAGTAGAAAAGAAAAATTTATTTTCTACTTTTTAGTCTACAAGAAAAACGTGTTTTTTTTTAAAGTTTTTTTTAAGTATTTTATTCATAATATAATATGCTTTTATAAGCATGTTGATACGAGATTTTACACTTGTAAATGATGGCTTAGATTCTACTTTGTACACATCTGTTAATATCGTGGGCGTATACACATAAAAATTAAAACAGTTTTGTACACATAGAAAGTAAGAGTGGGCTACATGCAGAGGCGTAGCGAGGGGGGGGGCGGGACATATGTCCCCGGGCGCCGACCTTAGGGGGGCGCCAAATTGAAAGTTTGAGGTGGGGTGCAAATGCAAAGTTCGAGGGGTGGGGGGTGCAAATCGAAATTTTGTCCCCGGGCGCCGGGAAGGGTCGCTACGCCTCTGGCTTCATGACGTTTAAGACTGCATAACTATTTTCTTCATCGCTTATAAAAAAAAAAGAAAAATAAATTCCCTGTTAATGGGCTATGAAAACAAATCTACCCTACCCCACTTATCATAATTGCTACGTTGCCTTTTTAAGTCCGATCGAAAATGTTTGCATTTTAAACTGATGACTTTCATGTAACGAAGTAACAGCTTGTATATATCGCATTGAATAATGGTAAGGATTGGAGATCAACCTAGACAAAACAAGGCAGTTGAAGTGAACTCACTTGTCGCTAAAATACGGTAGAGAATAGGAGCTGAGCTGAAACAGAGACTCCAGTTGAAAAAGTGAAAGTTATTTACCGACTGTGTGTATATGCGTGTATACATGTTTGTATGTATATATGTATGTATACATGTGTATGTATATGTATATACGTACATGTGTGTTTGTATTTATATATGTGTTTATTATAGTCAGAGGGGTGGGGGGGGGGGGGTGGGGGGCGGGATGAAGCTGTTCCACAACAGCGATTAAAAGAGAAGTTAAAGAAGCATAAATCTAATGGCATGCAGCAGTAAATGGGATCAACTATTAGTAAGCGTTTAAGGTCGCCTGGTTAATTAACATCCGAGATAAGTGATAGGCTCAATCTGCGGCCCCCATCTGGTGCAACAGCTTTGGTCTATTGTTGTGGGTATGTTGCAACTCCCGGCCTAGTGACGCCATTGACAGATACAGAATGCTGATACAATTAGAGAGCAGGGGTGGAGGGAACTACAATTATAGAGCAGCGGGGGGGGGGGGGGGACTTAAAATATAGAACGAAGCGTAGATATCATTTGAATATTACGGAATAGAGGTAAGAAAAGTGCTGGAACCATATGATATTACCATGAGAATGTAACTTAAATTTATCATGTTTTACATGCGAGTGCTTTTTAAAAACATCCTGTTATGCATGAGAATGTTACTTAAATCCGCCATGACTCACATCAGATAATGACTTAGATCCACTATGTGCCACAATGTATAATTATTTTGATCCACTATGTGCCACATTGTATAATTACTTAGATCCACTATGTGCCACATTGTATAATAACTTAGATACACTATGTGCCACATTGTATAATAACTTAGTTAAACTATGTGCCACATTGTATAATAACTTAGATCCACTATGTGCCACATTGTATAATAACTTAGATCCACTATGTGCCACATTGTATAATAACTTAGATCCACTATGTGCCACAATGTATAATTATTTTGATCCACTATGTGCCACATTGTATAATAACTTAGATCCACTATGTGCCACATTGTATAATAACTTAGATCCACTATGTGCCACATTGTATAATCACTTGGATCCACTATGCCCCACACCACATAGCTACTTTAATCCGCCATGTGCCACATTGTATAATAACTTAAATCCACCATACGCTACACCAGATAGCTACTTAAATCCACCATACGCCACACCAGATAGCTCCTTAAATCCACCATACGCTACACCAGATAGCTACTTAAATCCACCATACGCCACACCAGATAGCTACTTAGATCCACCATACGCCACACCAGATAGCTACTTTGACCCACCATACGCCACACCAGATAGCTACTTAGATCCACCCTACTCTCTAAACAACGTTAGATTCCCCATCAACGGGCTATCACGTATCCCCCCCCCACCCCCATCACAGAGGTGTTAAACAGATGGTGTCGATGTTCCGCACCAGTTCACCTGACACCACTCGGGCAGCGTGCAACAGCTCCTGGACTGCACCACGCTCCAGATAACATCTGACTGACGTCCGCGGGCTCTCCCGGGGGGTGGGGCGTCCGGCCGTAATTACATACAAGTGAGCCGTCACGTGAAGCCATCAACACGTTGTTCACAGATAACGCTGTGGTAGATTAGTCCGTCAGTCTGGGGGGGGGGGGGGGGGTAGCTTGGATGTGGACAGTTGGGCTTGGTGGAGATGGGTGGAAAAATGGGATGGGGTGGTAGAATAGTCCGTCAGTCTGGGGGGAGAGATGGGTGAGGGGGGGGGGGTAGCTGGGATGTGGACAGTTTGGGGGTGGATAGCTTGAGAGGTGATGGGGGTGGGGGATATGGGATATGGACAGTTGGGTTTGGTGGGTATGGGTGGAAAAATGGGATGTAAAGTGGTAGTTTGTCAGTCTAGAGGAGATGGGTGAGGGGTGGGGGATATAGACAGTTGTGTTTGGTGGAGATGTGGAAAAATGGGATTTGGATGGTGGAGTGGAAGATGTCATGAAGTAGACAGTTCCATGAGATGTTAGAGGAGGGGGGAAGCGATGGACAGATGGAGTGTGGTCTTGGATGAGTCGATGGAGTATGGTAGGGTGGAGTTGGGTGGAAAGATGGGATGTGATGGAGTGAGGCGGAGTATAAAAATGGGATGTGGTGGATTAGTCTGACAGTCTGGTGGGGGATGGGTTTTTTTTAGGGAGAGTATATAGACAGTTGTGGAGTGTATAGTAAAAAATGTGGTGAAGTTGAAGCAAAATGAGGTGGAAAGATTATATGTGGTATAGTAGGGTGGACATTTGGGTATGGTGGAGAAGTGTGGCCACGGGATTTGACAAAGTGGGATAAACCATAGTGGTGACAGCAAAGTGGAAGGATATTGTACAGTGGAGTAGGGTTGGTGGTGTACTGGAGATGTGAGGTGGAAAAAATGCTTTGCAGTGGAGCATGCAGAATGTGGGGGAGATGGATGGACAGATGGAGGAAGGTGGAGTAAATATACAGGGTGTGGTGGATAGATTGGGAGAATGGATGAGGAGTGGAAAATGGAGTGAGGCTGGGTGTAATTGAGGTATGGATATAGTTGGATAAAAAAATATGGGATGTGGGAGAAGGATGGAAACATGGGATGCAGCTGGATGGTTTATGCGAGAAGTGCAGAGAAAGTGCAGAAAGTCATCTAGTGTTATTTACTGCAATGTATTTTAGCTGGAGCTATAATGAAAAACCTTAATAAGGTGTTTACTATTTATATATTGACTTTTTGTTACACGGCTCTAGGAAAAACATTGACAGTAAAGGATCAATCATGTGACAATATAATTCACAGGAATAGTAATGGTCACATGACAATGTAATGGTCACATGACAATGTAATGGTCACATGACAATGTAATGGTCACATGACAATGTAATGGTCATATGACAAATAATATGGTCACATGACAATGTAATGGTCACATAACAATGTAATGGGCACATGACAATGCAGCAGTCAATGCATTGGGCACATGAGAAATAATAAGGGCATATGACAATGTAGCGGATATTAACAATCACATTGGAAAGAAACCTAAAAATTCATGACAAATGTTTTAAAATATTTATTTCATTCATTGATTATAGAGATAACAAATTTGTGTAGATATCCTCACAACACACAAGCAATTATAACATTTTACATGAACTGATTTATCCTTGATAACAATCAGTCAGATGGTGAGATTCCAGAATGTACTGTAGTTAACAAAAATTAAAAGGCCAAGTTTTAGTATGAACACTTCCCCCTATCCACCAAACCTGTTATCTAGACGACTGACTCAAGCATATCATATATAACATAATATTTTTTGTTTTTATTTTATACTCAACATACAAGTCCTGATAGAGTTCATTCACCTTGATAAGAGTAGCATACTCTTTCTACTAAGATGTATTAAACATCTTATTGCTGACCCCAAAACAATAAAAATTTCTATAGCTAAAAATGTTCTTTTAATTAATGTAATCAAAATAAAGACTAAAACCATAACAATTTTTTATTTTACAAATAATTAGAGCAAAAAAATTGTTAACACAGAAAATTCTTTTTAAATGCAGAGCAAAAATATAGCAGGAAAGCTTTGAAAGCAGCAGAATAAACATTTTTAAGACTGGTTGGATATAAATTGTTATATCATCAAAAAATCAAACTGGGACTAGAATACTATAAATAGAAATCACAACTTGAAGATGTAAACAGAAACATTACATTGATTAAAGCTTTGATACACCTTGATTATGCTGGCAAATAAAGTTTCTAACAACAAGCAGTTTATCACTGAAGTGGTGAGAATGAAATGGGGTAGAGCAATAGAGAATTTCCATCTTGAGGCTCATCTGTGAAACACACACAAAAAATTAAGTTTTCACATGTTGAAGTGAATATTAGAGAAGAAAACATTCAGAACAAGAAAATAAAAATGAAAATTTATGTTAGTCAAAAAAATAAACATTTAAAAAAAAAAAAATCAACCACAAATAGAGCTATACTGCTTATTCTTACACAGGCATAAATGCAGTTTTTATATTATAAATTGACTGTAGTTATCTCCCTTTTAAAATCCAATAATCTCAAAATTCAAACAATTGTTACATTGTACATTTTAAAAATTTCAATATTTGAGACCAGTTAATGGTAAGGTTTTAAATAATTGACAGGGTAAGTATTGATTAGAGCAATTGAAATAAGTCCCTTGTAAAAAATTTTTTTCCCAATATGCCCCCATATCATAACTAGGGCGAGCGAACTTACCTAATGCTCTCTTCCAGGACGCAGCAAATAGATCATCAATGTCTGCATAGCGCCATAGCCTGTATTCTGTTAAAGGACAAATAATTTGTTCAAGTTTCATGCTAAAATTTAGCTCACTTTCTAAGGTGTACATAAGTTAATTGAACTAATAACCATAACCAATAAATACTGATGATTTGTGCATGCTTATTTCCCTTAGATAACTTAAAGGATTGTGACATTTTTGTATTATGTCTAATATAAAAGTACTTTAAAATACTGAGTGACAGCTCAGAGTGTTTAAACCACACCATCATGTGACACCATGCAGCAAAGAGACAGAGTCCAGTATCCTATCATTTAAAAAAACTTATTTTCATTGCTTAATACACACATTTACAATGGCCATTCTGGGCTGTATAATCCCAAAAGACAATTTATTCTGAATTTTTTGTTAATCACAACTTTCGTTCTAAAACATTATCTTACTACAGTGTGTGAAACACAGGAATCAAAATATCTATGAGATGTAAATGCCAACTACATTAGTGCCGGTATGATGTCACGGTCTTGGATGCTGTCTAGCTATGGTCTGTCTAATCTGGCAAAAGTGGAAAGAACTTTCTGTACCTGCCCCATGTGTCTAGAGTACAGAAGGGAAAACATGAATCTGATGAAGGTCTGTCTGTATAATAAATCTCTCCATCGTTCTCTTATAAGAGAGAAACTGTTTCAAGCCTTGGTCTTAAGCCAGGCAGACCAAATAAAGAGCATTACTTCCATAGGATGTCAGCTGCTAGACCACTATCCCCCCACCCCCATTCCCTAAGACAGATGCATAACGCCACATTTATATGGGGAACAGGGGGGCAGTTCAGTCAAGGACTTGAGACCAGATATGAACTCATGACTTTCAGATATCCAAGTGCACATTCCACCACTAGATCAGAATGTCCCACACTGTTTAAGGACTACATCTGTCCAATTTGTCATCTTATTAACTTTCCATTGAATCCATGCCCCATCACCTACCTGTATTAGTTTGTCCTAACACACCAACAAATCACCTACCTGTATTAGTTTGTCCTAACATCCCCATAAATCACCTACCTGTATTAGTTTGTCCTAACACGCCCACAAATTCACAAATCTGCCCACAAATCACCTACCTGTATTAGTTTGTCCTAAAACACCCACAAATCTGCCAACCAAGATCACCTACCTGTATTAGTTTGTCCTAACACGCCCACAAATCACCTACCTGTATTAGTTTGTCCTAACACACCCACAAATCTCCTACCTGTATTAGTTTGTCCTAACACACCCACAAATCACCTACCTGTATTAGTTTGTCCTAACACACCCACAAATCACCTACCTGTATTAGTTTGTCCTAACATCCCCATAAATCACCTACCTGTATTAGTTTGTCCTAACATCCCCATAAATCACCTACCTGTATTAGTTTGTCCTAACATCCCCATAAATCACCTACCTGTATTAGTTTGTCCTAACACGCCCACAAATTCACAAATCTGCCCACAAATCACCTACCTGTATTAGTTTGTCCTAACACACCCACAAATCACCTACCTGTATTAGTTTGTCCTAACACACCCACAAATCACCTACCTGTATTAGTTTGTCCTAACACACCCACAAATCACCTACCTGTATTAGTTTGTCCTAACACACCCACAAATCACCTACCTGTATTAGTTTGTCCTAACACGCCCACAAATCTGCCGACCAAGACCTCCCCTCTCTCCTACCTGTATTAGTTTGTCCTAACACACCCACAAATCACCTACCTGTATTAGTTTGTCCTAACACACCCACAAATCACCTACCTGTATTAGTTTGTCCTAACACGCCCACAAATTCACAAATCTGCCCACAAATCACCTACCTGTATTAGTTTGTCCTAACACACCCACAAATCACCTACCTGTATTAGTTTGTCCTAACACACCCACAAATCTCCTACCTGTATTAGTTTGTCCTAAAACACCCACAAATCTGCCAACCAAGATCACCTACCTGTATTAGTTTGTCCTAACACACCCACAAATCACCTACCTGTATTAGTTTGTCCTAACACACCCACAAATCACCTACCTGTATTAGTTTGTCCTAACACACCCACAAATCTCCTACCTGTATTAGTTTGTCCTAAAACACCCACAAATCTGCCAACCAAGATCACCTACCTGTATTAGTTTGTCCTAACACACCCACAAATCACCTACCTGTATTAGTTTGTCCTAACACACCCACAAATCACCTACCTGTATTAGTTTGTCCTAACACACCCACAAATCACCTACCTGTATTAGTTTGTCCTAACACACCCACAAATCACCTACCTGTATTAGTTTGTCCTAACACCCCCACAAATCACCTACCTGTATTAGTTTGTCCTAACACACCCACAAATCTCCTACCTGTATTAGTTTGTCCTAACACACCCACAAATCACCTACCTGTATTAGTTTGTCCTAACACACCCACAAATCTGCCAACCAAGATCACCTACCTGTATTAGTTTGTCCTAACACCCCCACAAATCTCCTACCTGTATTAGTTTGTCCTAACACGCCCACAAATCACCTACCTGTATTAGTTTGTCCTAACACACCCACAAATCTCCTACCTGTATTAGTTTGTCCTAACACGCCCACAAATCACCTACCTGTATTAGTTTGTCCTAACACCCCCACAAATCTGCCCACCAATATCTCCCCTTTATGAGCTCCACTGTGAGGTTTTGTAGCTGATCCTTTAATGGTCTCTAGCTGGTACACAGCTAAATGTAAACCAATGCTTTATTTTAATAAACATAGTATGTTTAAAAAAATATTAATGAATTAATTCAAATTTCATAAGTTCTTTTTTCCAGGTCTGATGGTCCCACAGAGTAGATGAAGCAGAGTTAAGCTATTTGTCTGACCTACACATAGGAGGGGAATGAGTGGGTAGCCATAACATCTTGGTTACTCAGGGACATCTAAGGACTGGAGTCAAGGAAAAGAGCATGGGACTTCCAACCTACCAATTGTGTGCTCTACTATTCATTTAAATCTACAGTATGTATTAATTTTATTTTCAGATAAATTTAAAGTGAACTAAAGCATAGTTAGTTATAATAAACAAAGTATGAAATTTTACAAAACACTGAATGATTTTTTTGTAGTCTAATATTAAAGCAAAATGTTTCAAAACTAAACAAGAACTCAAATGTGTAACTAGACATTTATTAACAGTGCTTTATATTTATCTATTTATAATATGTCTCTCAAAGTGTACCTGTTCCTTAACCCCAATCTAACTATGTATAAATCTAAACACACCTTTTTAAGAGTTGAACCAGTTTAATAACTTTTAGATGTTTCAAGTATGTTTAATTGTATTGGGATCCTTGAATAAAAGAATTATCAGGATAGTTCCTCTTTTATTTCATTGTAACTATCTGATTATGCTTCCACAGTTACACATAGGATCAATATATAAGCCAGCTTGAGGGGACTGTTATGCATTAAGTTTTTATATGTACCTCCAGGTTCTGAAGGCAAATCCAGATTGAGCTTAGATTTAGGCAATGGTGCCACCAATGCATTTGTCCAGTCATCAATTGTTGGCAACAATTTAGGCAGAAAAACTGTGGTCCACTCTTTATCCTCCATCATGCCAGTGCGAACTTTACGCCTGTGGCTTAAGCTTTCTGTAATTTACAAGTAAAGTTACAAAGTTAAAGCCATAGTGCTAACTTTTAACTGATTATCAGATGGTCCAATAAATAGAACCAGGAGAGTGCACGCCTACGATCAAATGAACGGCTGTGATACAAGAAAATGTATACATGAAAATTTTATGTAATGAAAATGATGAATGCATGAAAATGTTGTATGCATGAAAATATTGTATACATGAAAATATTGAGTACATGAAAATATTGGGTACATGAAAATATTGAGTACATGAAAATGTTTAAATGAATTGTATGCATGAAAAGGTTGTGTACATAAAAATAATGAGTACATGAAAATATTGTATACTTGAAATACTGAGTAGGTTGGGCCTACATGAAAATCTTCTATGCATAAAAATATTGAGTATGTGAAAATGTTTAAATGAACTGTATACATGAAATTGTATGCATGAAAAAGTTGTGTCCAGGAAAAAGATGTGCACATGAAAATGTTGAATGTATGAATTGTTGTATACAACACACAAAAAATGTGTACCTGAAAATGTATGCATGAATTTTATACATGAAAAAGGTGTATACATGAAAATGATGTGCACATGAAAATGTTGTATAAATGAAAATGTGTTATACATGAAAACTTATACATGATAGTGTTGTACATAAAAACATGTATACATGAAAATAAATTATAGCAATGCCAGATTAATTTCAATATTTACAAGCTTTCAAAATAGAAACAGAGCATATTAACACATAACAAAGCACCTTAAGTAAAGAATCCATATAGGAGAGAAAGAAATATATGACATTTTTTATGGAGCAAACTTAATTAGCCACTAACCCTTTTAGACATTTATATCAAACATGTAGTTGCAAGCAGGGAGATAATCACTTAAGCCTCTACAAATTTCCCTGATTAAGTCTTTAAAATTGGTCCTTTAAAGGGTACAGTGGACAAAGTCTACAGTTAAAAAAAAGGTACATCGCCTTGTTAAGTCAGACATAGAAATATATAGTAATTTAAGTTTAGGCCTGGGTTGATAGCATGGGCTTTTTGATTAGCCATACATGTGACTTGAATACAGTTAAACCGGATCAATCAACAACATAGGGAAAATGTTTGGGAGCCTACCATATTCCCATAAATGGACAAGTTGGGTTATAGAACCCCCAATCTCTCCATTCCAGAATCCCAACAGCTTAGAATGCTTGGTGCGCAGGGAGATATACTGCTTGAATAACTCTGTGGTGCTCTTGAAATCTTTGGCTAGAATTTGATAAATGCGCAGCTCATAAATGGGTGACGGCACAACTTTGGCATCTTTGCTATAGAAATTCTGAGGGAATATAAGAACAAAATTGGGAAAAATTAAATTTTCTGGGAGGCAGACACTGGTAAAAGTATATTTTCGATTTAAATTCTATCTCAGTGAATGAGATGGTAGACGTGCTTTGAAGTGTGGGGATGGGGGGGGGGGGGTGTAGCCTAAAAGAAACTCTAAATGCAACTATTATCATGAATGAGATTAGGTGCAAGGTTAAGTTGTATGGCTATGACTATATTTAGTATCAATGTGCAGTAACTACGTGTAGATCAAGCTTAAATTCGATTAAAATGGCAATTCTGGATAAAAATCCATCTTCAATGTCATTTTTCGTTGACGGTTAAATTTGAAGTTTAAGTTTAAGTGGTGATTTTGGTTTTGGTTCCAATTTAGAGAAAAGACAACACTATCAACCTAGCGCCCATTGTATCCCTCCCTCAACGGGCCATTATCTCGAAAGTAAAAATTAAAAATAGTAATAGTCTATAACTCTGTAGGCCTCAATATAACTCAATTACTCATGTTACTGTGTTATGAAATGTGTAACTGTGTAAGCACATGACACATGTTTATTTACTATATCTACAGTACAGTGGCGTAGCCAGGATCGTCTCAAGGGGGGGGTTCCAATTTTTACCCGGGGACAAACTTTCGATTTGCACCCCCTCCCCCTCAAACTTTCGATTTGCACCCCCCCTCAAACTTTTTATATATACCGAGGGGTCTATGGGGGGGGGGGGGGGGGGGTTATGACCCCCCCTAACCCCACCCCTGCCTACGCCACGTATATCTAGATCTAGAATCTATTTAGTTAGGGCCTAATTTAATATAGATTTCTAATTTCTAGATCTATATCTTGATTCTAGATCAAGATCTATATGATTATGTTTATTGTTAGTCTAGAGTCTAGCTGATGAAGGAAGAACCGTTGCTCTGGGTGCTCACTGCCGCTGCAGGTAGATCTAGAATTCTAGATCTATGTAATAGGCCCTGATAAGTATTATGATAAAGTATTATTATGTATTGTGCATAGTGCATGCATAGCATTGCGTCTAGAATCTAGATCTAGACCTAGAAATCTAGATCTAGTTAGATCTAGATCTAGATCTAGAATCTAGATTCTTTGACTTTCTAGATTCTAGATTTCTAGATCTACAACAAAAAGCAAAAACTTACACATTTTACTGCATTACAAACTCCGTTTTGTTTACTGAGATTGGTAAATAGGCGCAAGGTACTCGTTGACTTTAACATGATAAAACTCTAATGAGCTTACTTATAAAATAACATAAAATCAGGTGCAGAACGTTAAAAAAAACTTAAGTTAGGGGTTAAACAATAAAGTGGGGTAGACCTTTTTTAGGCCTATTGTTAAATAGGTCAGAGGTAATAGGGTCATGAACGTACTAAGAGAGATAATTCACACTAAATACTTATCAAGGAAAAGAATGAATTATTCCCCATTAATAGATTAAATTTAATGCTGTAAAGGATTTTTTTTTAATTTATGAAAAAATACCTGTCTGAATGCTGTAAACAAGAGGTGTGGTAGAGCAATCGGAAAGTCTTGAATTCGGTCCCTGGGCTAAAGTCAGATAGCCACTCCGCTATGATGGGTACATAAGGCCGGGAAAGTAAAGGTGGCCCCACAGACCACTAGGTTTGAAAAGGGTACATTACTTTTTTTTACTTACAATACTGTAAACCATTTACAACTACTACAGAAAAACAAACATATTTGACTGATCTAAGCAAAGTATTTAGATGGGAGACCAGATTAGATAAGATGCAGTTTCTTCCAAGTTAAGAAAAAGTGAAATGCTTTAGGAGTTTAATGTTATAATTTTGTGATCTAAGATCATTTAGTTATTTTTAAATTAATTTATATTAGGAACCATTACTCCTCAAATTCCATACTGGTACTACTAATTAACATCTTATAGTGTAAATCACACCATTTAAAAATTTCTTTTGACAGATCTAGATTGTTGTTCTCAAACTGTTAAATACCTGCAAGCACTTGCTAACAATTTCCACTCAATACTTGAAATGCTTTTGTTTTAAACATGGCTATTTGGTATTTGACTAAAGAAAAATATATAGATCCCTACACTGAAAAGTCAGACAAAAAAAAGGATAAAAAACAAAGGAAGTCACTAGTAGGTATTGTATTTAAAAAAAAGGTTTAATTGTATAAGTCAGACAGCTGCCAGTATAAAATTATAAATATCCTAAAAACTGACATAAAATAACATTGTTTTATTCTGAACACTGATAATTCAAACTAAATAGCACCAGAATTAGTATGAGCACAGCGTACTCATCTTCACAAATACTTAAAATTTTAGACACAAATTATACATGAACACAACTTTAAAACCTATTCTTAACATCCAAAATTTTGACATCAAGACAAATTTTTACCATGTATAACAACATTTTAAAATATATTGTCACAATCCATTTTAAATCACAAAATAGAATGAAATGATTTCTCTAATGCTTTAAATATTTAATATTATAGCTTAAGAAGATTTATGTTTATAATATTTATATACCCTTATTTTGTAATGTTTTTCCTGGTCATTCATTCTTGAGAGGTCAGTTTTGGTGACTAAAACTATACTATAAACTGATTTAAATCCTTGACCAGCAACTTGCTATATATTAACTCTCAATGACAATTATCTACCACATCTTAGAATCTCAGCTTTAAGGCTTGTAAGCAACAATACAAGTGAAGAGGAGTGATAATTTGTTATAGAATATAGTAACCTTTAATTTATTTTTTATAACTAATTTAATATCTGGATAGATTTGAAAATAGTAATGGATTTGTCTGCAAAGTTTGAAAGGAATTGCTCAAATTAGAAATGTGACAAGATTGAGTGACAATATTTAACCAAAACCTGATATACAACAATACGGCTAACCACCATGACCAGAGTAACAGCATGTATGTTTGTAAGTAAACACTTAATAAGGTAAAATATTTAAAAATAATGATTGCTGACATTGTCCCAGATCCATTTTGACAACACTTAACTTCAGTAAACATTAAAATATTGACAACATGAAGTTTAATTAGGGGTCATCCATTTATGACGTCCACATATTTTTGGGATTTTGGACCCCCCCAGTGGATGTCCACACTGACTATAAGTTTTTGCATAATCTTCTTCCACTATTACTCAAACTACTGCATTAAGTGTGTGTATATACTCTGTGTGTATATAATATTACAAATACCGGTACAAATATATTTTATTAATCTTCGTGTCTAGATTTACAATGGAATGTGTTTACAAAAATAAATGATGAAAGCTTGTTTTATTGAAATAGCTTTTATTTTGAATCAAACCAATACAGATTGCTAGGTTTTAAATGGTAATAAAATTTTAAAAGTATTTTGGATAAATTAAAAGAATATATTTATAGAAAACTAAATTATATTTTTAATTTACAATATTCACAAAATAAACGGTCACGTGTATCAATTTCTGATACTTTTTAAATTTGGAGGAAATAATGCCCAAGATCACACACCCTACAAGGAATGAGGGTCCTGGAATACTAGCAGCACTGTAAAAGATGCTTGTAAGTCACACACAGAAAAGTAAGCAACAGTCTTACAAAAGGGCAGCTGCTGGCCTTAGAATAAAAATTACTTTTGAATTGAGTCTTTGTTAATAACTTAATAAATAATTTTAAAATTTAAATAAGACAAAGTTTAGCTGATCCTTTAAAGAATAAATTCAAATCAAAATTAGATTTCACAATGTATTTACAACAAGAAATATTTTTTCTATTAGGTAGTGTTGAACAATTAATTATGTTATTTTACACTGCTTTTATTATTAAAATAAGGAATGTATTCATGTTTGGTTATCCCACAGTTTTTTATAAAGTGTCTAAGAAAACATGCCAAAGCCTAAAAATTTAATAATAATGAAATAATTTTTTAAACACTATTTTTTTAAAGAAGTTTAGCAATCCTCCCAGGGGCAGTTGAAAGTGTCAAAATTGTTCTGCATCGACCGGATAACCATCAAATTTGATATTGCTCCAGATCTCAGCCAACACCTCTCCTGCTTTTTAGAAGTTTTTTTTTTCTAATTCTGGATCTACAGTTCTTCCAGAGGCATTTAAATGGCTACTGAATGAATCATGTGGCTATATCAAGCCCGCCAGTTCCCTTCTCAGTGGGGCCATTCTTCATTCAACATAATTGTAGGCAGACATTCCCAGGGCATGTGTCATAGCTATGTACACATCTAAATTGTACTTTCGTAACCTGTCTGCACCCACAACTAGTTTTTAAGAAAGCGTGAGTTCTCCTCAGGTCCTCCATCCACGAAAGCAAGGAATATTGGCTTAATGTTGCCTTCATGGGTAGCTACCGCTTTAAAAGAATCAAGGTGTAGCAAATGATCCACATCTCTCCCATGTGTAAACGCCGTGCTGCTGTCATGCTTGGCACGTCTGGGGGCTATATTCCTTGGCCCAGAGTGTGTTATTGCAAACTCAGAATGCTCTGATGGTGCTTTAATTGTGCAAGCTGCATAGACAGAGGGTATAAGCTTGTGTTTAGCAGCTATAACAAAGTCATGATCTGGAAGTCTGACTTTGTATTCCAGACACATCAGCAGTGGGGCTTGTTTGTTGGCTGCAGCCAGACAGATGAGGACTTTAGCCTTTTCGTCAACTGACAAGACAAACACAGCCTGTGGCCCAAACATAGAGGAAATACTTTTTAGGTATTCCTTTGTTGAAAATGCAAAGTTTGCATTTTCATGCAACTTTCGCTCACTGTTTTCCGGCCGCCATAGCTTTACCGGTACTGTTTGGATATGTTTTTTCAGTGGTGTCTGTGGTGAATCAGTCTCAAGTGTAACGCTGACCTGCTTAGAGAGAAATCTAGATTTTTTAGCTCAGCTGCTAAGTCATCCAGAGTTTAACAGGCATGCAATACTTCCGCCCTTCACCTTTTATCTGCTCCAGCAACTCTTATGCAGATCACCATGTTCTTCTCCCAGAGATGGACGCCCACATCTCGGCCAGGCAAACTTTTCTACACTTTCGTGAACTTTCCAATACCAATAAGGAGTGATTTTAAACTTGATCGGCGCTCCCTTTGTCGCTCAGCATCTTTCTGCATACGACTTAACTTTTGTTCACAATTTTTAACCAAATTTTTGGAACATTCTAGCTGTTTCAAATTTTTCTGCCGTCGCCAAACCAGTCTTTAAGCTCTTGTAATTGGACGATTCGAGCTTTTTCTAAGTTTATGTTTTCTTTTAATTTTTCTTGCGCTGGTGCATTTTTTTAATAGAATCATCCACATCTAGTTTTGCTTTTATTGCTTCTAAAACTGATGGTCCAGACTCACTTGTAGAGGTGGTTGGTTTTTGTTCAGACTCTGATGGACCAGGAGCTTGAGTTTTATTAGTTCGCTCAGTAGCAATACTTTCATCAGTCCCTCTTTATTCTAGACAATCAAGATTTTAAAAAAATTAAATCAGATCTTATTAAACTTTTTTACCATTTTCATATTTTAAAATACTGAAAAATCACATTAATAAAATAGTAGACCAAAGTATTTATTACCAAAAAATATTATATTCCTGAAATAAAATGCAATTCTTACCTGTATCCTTTTTGGGTAGCCTGGCCCAAAATGATAAAGATTGGGACTGATTTATCCTGATGACATCCTGCAGTTCTACTAATTTAGCTGTACATTGTTCCTCTGGCTGCCTCTTTAAATTAAGCCATAGGCTATTAACCACTTTTTGAGGTTGAATTTTTTATTTGGAGGGATAAGCCTTTTGATACAAATCATTTAATTTAGCATATTTTGCTCTGTTTTGACTAGCCATTATTTCTTACACTTGTAGCCTAATGGACACAAACATTGGGCCCCCCCCCCCCGTGTTGACGTCATAAATGGATGACCCCTTAAGTAGATATAAAAACCTGACAGAAATGTATATAAGTAAATGTATAAATAAGGCCTGAGTGGATTAGATCTGCTGCCAGCTGAGTATTGAAAAGTTTATCTCAAAGCTGAGAACTTGGTAGGATACAATAGGAGAGATGTGCCATCTTCAGGGTTAGCTGTAGAATAAAATAAGCGGTTTTATTAAGTGATTTTATTTTATGTTATAACAGACTTTGATGTCTGCAGTTAATTGAATATAAATAATAATATGATTAGAATACATGAAATATTAGATATACTTTTAAGCCATTTATATCCTTGCAGAAGTACCAAACAATAGTTTATAGTCACTTTAAGGCAGCATCAAGAATCAGAAATTTAAATAAAAAAAAAAGCAGGTTTTATTTAGGTCAAGTTTTTTCTTCTTCAGGATTCAATAATGCTGTTTTTTAACATATACTTTAAGTTACACCAATGAGCCATCTTGAAATAGATAAGTTATGCTATAAAATTAATGACTATTTCAATTACATAATATCTTCTTCCATGATGAAGCCTGCAGGTGGTGGATTGAAGAATAGCGCCACAGTCTGTATTCTGTAACATCAACACAAAAAAATTTCAATATTTCAGCCACCTACACAGCCAATAAGACATAAGAAAATGAAAATTTAAAACTAATCCGGCCAAATATATTGCAGTAATCAGATTACATCATGCCTACAATCTTATTCTACTAATCATTTGAAAAATCCATTTTTCCAGCATCATACATGCCTCCTAGGTTATTTATCAACCATATTATTTAAATAATAGATAGCGTTAGTATAATTAAGACAGTCTAGATGTGCTAGCTTACTCAGGAGCTAGACACAACATGTCTCTTCTACAGCACAACTATGAGAAGCAGAGGATGGGTAGTTTGTGTTATGGAGACACTTTTTGCAAAAGTGTCCTCAAAGTTGTGTAAAATATACTTAAAACTGTACAGTCTTTAAAATAAATTCACTTAACCTTTAATTATACGGTACACTAAAAATATTTTATTTAAATATTGGAAATTGGTTTCTGGGTTTAATAAATACACTAAAAGGAGTTCAAGACTTTGTTACTGAAGTGAATAGGCTTTTATTTATACGGAACATTAGCAAACATATTGGCTAAAAATCTGAATATATAATAAACTGAATCATAATAAAGATAGATTGAATCTCCTGGTGCACTGTGAAAGGGGTTAAATAGTACATGACAGACAAAACTTAAAATGAGATATTTGAAATTTTCTGTTTGCAGGCTTACACATTCAGGTTTGTGAAAAAAAAAATCAAGTTCTGTAAACATTTTAAAAAATGAATGTTCTAACTCATTTAAAAGACACTGATATACTAATATTGATTAATAAACAATATGGAATTTAAATTTATGGAATTTAAAGAATAATGATCCAAAGTTTAAAAAAAAGGCAGACATGATCAATAGAAATTAGCAGCAACATACCAGTGTTGGTGGATCCAAACACACCAAGAAATCTACCAACAAGAACCTCATTACCGTCTTTAGATTTACTGGGCGCTGCTTTGTATCCTTTTAGAATTTCTAGCCTGTAAAGAGCTGGAAATATTTATAAGTTGTGTAGAAACACAAATGAAAATAAGTGTGCTACAATAGGATTTAAAAAACTCTGTACTTGTAATTTAGAATAATAAGTATAATGCTGATCACTAAACCTATTAAAAGAAGCTAATGAACTCTACTTCATTGACCATATAGGTGAATTTTACTAAATACTTGCTATCAGATTTGTGCCTTCGAGTTAGTTAAAGGAAACAAAAATGATAAAACCATTTTAAATATTTTGCTTTATCATTTCATATTTTTCATTCTGTTTAGGGTTAGGGCCAAATAATCATGTTTGTTTTGTAAGTAGAAAAAGTTAATATTACATTAATTTGTTTCCAATATATTTCAAATGCTGTGCTGTTTAAATCGAGAGACCCTAACTGTAAACCAACAACATACAGAGCTTAAGTACCTTCTGAGGAACTGTCAAAGGTGGTGTTGATCTGAGAATGAGGTACTGGTGCCATCAGAGCATTGGTCCAGCTTTGGACAGATGGCAAAAGATATCGCATAAAGCCTGTTAGCCATCTGATGTTGTTTGATAATTCACCTTGAACTTTCTTACGGTGATCCAAGTGATCTAAAGAGGAACATTTCATGGTACAGGCAACAAAGTTGAATTAACTTTCTGGAATACCAGTATTGAAAATCTCAGAAATATTTTTAAATACTTTTTTTTTAAAAATCTAATAATAGAAATAGAAAACGGATGTGATTAAAAGTTTATTAAAATAATATTCACCATTCAACAACTACAGAATATTGCAAAAATAATTATGATCTATTTTATTCATTTCAGAATTTTTTTTGGGGGGTTTGAGTTAGTTTAAAATGTTTAGTTCACACATTTTTTTTTTATTTATGGCACAAAAACGAAAGGAAATCTGTTTCATAAAAAAAAAAAATTCCTTTAGACCTAAAGGAGATTTTAATTTTTTTTTTTTAGTTTCTTCAAGTTTACCCACAAGACAAAAAAAAAAAATATGCAAAAATCATGATGATATATAAAGATCATATTTGCTGCTTTGTAAAACCTAAAAGAAATTATGAAGCAACAATTACCATACTGCTCTATCTGTACAATTTGATTTATTGAGGCGCCAATCTCTCCTGTCCAACAGCCCAAGACTTTAGAAAAAAGGTTGCGATGTAGACTCATTTCTTCAAACAATTTCAGTGTGTCTGAAAAGTTCTGTGCATAAATATTATATATGCGCAACTCAAAAATTTCTGAGGGTTCTTGGTAGTTTTCTGCATTGTAATGGACCTGAAAGGAAAATAAAAATAAATAAAATTATTAGTACTAAACATAAAAATAGTAAAGAGAAAGCATTTTTACAGATGTATTTAAGTTTGAAACAGTTTTAAAATAAGATAAAATTTGGAAAACCTTGTTTAAAAAGAAAATTACATTCTATTATTTCCATTGACAGCAAATATCACTAAGGTTATTGTGGGAGAGAGATAGCATGTTTGTATGGTAGACTGCTGACTCAAAAGTCTCAAGTTAAAATCCTAGGCTCAGTCCATTGGACGTCCCTGAGTCCACCCAAATTGATGGCTACGGAAGGTGGCTGGGCATAGAGCTGACCACACTATCCCTTCATATGCCAAGGTTTTAGAAATTGGTGAACTCTACTTTACCTGACCCATGGACCCTCAGGATTTAGCATAGAATAGATATTTTGATGAAAGCGAATAAATCAATAAGTTTGCATTAAAATATGACTGACAATGCAACAAAAGAAGAAAAAAAAATCTACTCTAAGTTTTAATGTTTGTTTTTACTCAACACCGCACAATTAAAAGAAAAAGCTAGCTCAAATATAAGGTAAAAGAAATTAAAACAAATGTTTTTGAGTTTTAAAAGGGAAAAATATCTTAACCAAACAAATCTCACTGGTAAAGATAAAAAATTTGTTTTACCAAAAAATACCCAACTTCTGCTTGTATTACTAATGCAGATATATTTTTAAACAATTAAAATCTGTTGCTTTTTTACTTCTTATGTTTTATTGAAAGCTACATATATTACTAGTTTACCTACCTGTTGTGATTCATCCTTGCTTTTAATGTGAGAGCCAATGATAATAACCAGTAGAAGAACAGTATTTAGTATGATCAACAGGAGGAAAATACATGTTATGAGTGCTGACTTCCTATGAAAAAAATTGTTTCTTATCAAGGCTTTAGGGGTTGTGCTTTCTTTTTCTTTAGGTTGTTCTTCCAGAGCTTTAAATAAAAAGAACAGTACTACTAATTACGAGCCGACCCGCGGCGTATCATACGCAGCTATGTAGTTGTTTTATTTTCTACTTTTCAGTAATTCATAATTTGTGAATTCAACAGTACAATGCTGCCACTGAAAATATTTGCTTTAAAACACTATCAGTAGGTCGTTAAGGATGATAACCCCCATTACCCTCCTTTCCCCCGACCCCTGCCCTACCCCCCCCCCCCCCCCCCCGTGAAAGCAGAAGCAGCATCCTCTTAATTAACTCCCTAAGTTTAAAATCGTTTCAAACTAAATTATCTGCCCCTAGTAGCCGTCACTAAACCAGGCTCTACGATTGTAAACATTTAGCGTGAACCACAGCTCACCAGACCATGTGGGGGTGGGGGTGGTAGGGATATGCTTAGAGAGGAAGAGAGGGGGCTGCTATGCGCGCTGAGAGCTTGGTGTTTTCTAGGGTATCCAAGAAGAGAATTATATATATATATATATATATATAGATAGTTAGACCTAAAACTTCTCCAAGATATAGGGTAAACTGTAACTCTTTGCTGAAACTGTTTTCAAAGTCAAGCTAAAGGAATTTATAAATACAAATTGAGAAATTTCAGGACGTATAATGTCAATCAGATATTTTGTTTTGTATTGAAAAGAGGTTCACTATTTATTATGAATTATTTCTTGATCTCATTATTGGCACCTAATAAAAGAAGTGAAATGTTTCAGTGAGGTCACAAAAAGAACTATTCGCTGTTCTGGTTAGAGTCGGTATGGTATTTTCCCAGTTAAAACCAAAGCAATTCTCAATGGACACGAGCGAGAAAACTCTCAAAGGTATTTGAGAGGTGTATAAATTAGTTTAAAAATCATGCACAGCGTAGTTACAATTAATATGGTTATAAAATCCTGTCTATCTGGTTTTTTTCGGACTTTACTAAAGATTGGATGTATTTGATGTTTATAATATTTTCGGTAACTAAATAAAAACTAAAAAAAAAAGCAAAAACAATTTGGTTTTCACGTGTAATGGCGACATAAACAATGGCATCCTGCTATTGGATAGGCCGTCATTGATTTTATTGTACACATTGTAAGCTAAAAATAGAAAACTAGGTCATGGGGTTTTTAATTTGCATTGTTATTTAAAAACTTGATCTGCAAAGTTTTGTAAACAAATAGTTATCGATCACTAAGTTACTGTACAGCCAATCAATATTTGTCTTACGAAAGTGAAACATCCGGTTTTAACTTAGGCTTGATGAAAATAATTAGAAATGTAGCCTTAAACTCAACAAATTATTTTCAAGTTCTCTGGATTTGCAACTTTTATAGCATTTATTCTAAAAATATAAAATTTCTAAATTAATTTTAGGCTTAAGTTTTTATTTTTTATTTTTTTTTACGGTCTAAATCTTAAAAAGCACGTTTTTATTCCATGTCAACAACATTGGGGACGGAATCTCGTCAACTCGCTCGCCTCCATTGCCAAAGCTGCTTGAGTAGTAGATGAGAATTCTACCAATATGACAGAACACTTTACAATCAGGAAAAAGATACATCAGGATGGTTAAAAAATTTAATTTGAGGTTGGTTTATTTGCAAACATTGGGCTCTCTAATTAATTGGTATTAATATATTTATTTTTAGTGAGCTGTGTTCTCACTGTGGTTCACGCCGAATGTTTTCAATCAATCATGGTCTAATGTCTAATACTACACCAAGGGCCGACAACTGCAGTTTAAAAAGTCATTGACGACTTTTATCTGTACACGGCTTGCGTAATTTGTTACATTCTTTGGCCTAGTTCAACGTTTTACTCTGCTAATGTTAGGCCTACACTTCGTAGTAAAAACAGTAGAGTATGTGACCTACCAATCAGCGCAGCTGTTTTCTCTGACGCCATTTTATTACGAGAAGGCCGAACCCGCCAGTAAGCTCGGTTTACACTGGAGAGGTGTTGCTGTAAGGGAAAAAATTCAATGAAAACAAAGTGGGAGTGACCTCCCCTAAACTTTAATTATCTTGTAAGTATCCTTGAGTTTTATAGCCTGTATTAATTAGATACCTAATTTTTTTTTATTATAACTGACTTATATTTTGCTTTTTTATTCAAGGTCCCTGAAGTTAGGATGCTCATCCAGACTACGTGTGAAAATAACGCAGGTGGGGGACTACAGCCAGTACAGGTTGTGCAGTCAGATCACACATACAAATCATGTTTTGTCAAAAGAGGTAGATCTATATTCTATGTCCAGTGTTACAATATTGGTTGCTGATTAGTGCACAGGTTAGAGAACTCATAATGCTAAATTTCAATTGATCTCTTACTTCTTTTTAGGTGGCAGATGCTCTACCAGAAAGACGGCATGTGTGTAGCCATGAACCCGGTTATTGAGACCCTCGAGATCCTTCGGTGCACTTCTATTTCAAACACACATGTGAGAGATGTCATTTTTTCAGATCCGAATGTTACAGTGGCACCAAAAGATGTCAGCAATTTAAAGCCAATGCACAAAAAGAGACAGACCAACAAGAGGCAGAGAAGATTTTAAATGGGATAGTGAGGTAGGGTGGAAGGGTTGATTTTGGTAGAAATGAGGGAGGGGATTTTGTTTATTTAGTAGTGTATATGACTAGGGACTTGGTAGATAGATTCTACACTATTTAAGTTTCCTGAAGTTTTGGTGATGAATATTACTTATAAAACTAATATTTATAATTTGCCACTGTTAACCATTATGGTTATTGACAACAATGGTAGTGGTCATCCTGTCTTTCATGCTTTTTTTAGCTCAGAGCAGCAAGATGTTCTTCTTCACTGTTTGTTTAAAGATTAAGAATGTTACAAGCATTCTGTTCCTTGTTTCTTTATAAAGATTGGTCTGAATTAAACACTCTGTTCAAAATGTTTTTGATGGAGCTAATATTATCTTATGTGCTTTTCACATACAATTAGCTATCCAGAAACCGGAAAAGATGATAATGATGGCCCATAATAATTATATAGACACACTTGATAAATAATTTGTCTGACAATATCAATATATTTACAGAAATATAACTTTGCCCTAATCAAATTAAGATCCAATTTAGCGAACATCTCTAGCAAACTCTGGGGAAGGTTGGTAGACAATTTATAATTGAAATTCATTTTTAATAAAAACTAAATGAATGAATTTAAGACTATGCAAGTAAACTTCTTTTTCTTTTACAATTTTTTTTTGTCTTTTTGTACGGAGTTTTGCATAAAAAAATAAATACATCCTGAATCTAGTATTTAATTTTTTTATGTTTCATTGTAAGTAATAGTGTGCGCATCTTTGTATAGCTCTGTTTCGTATCGTATTGTACCAGAATGAATCTGATTGAACTATGTTGTACGTATGAAATCGTATCGCATCACATCGTATCTTATCTGTCGTATCGTATTGTGATCAAGGTAATTGAATAACATAAATACTTATATGATTGTGTTAAAAAAAAAAGATCGTATCCCGAACTGCTCACCGTACTCTGCAATGTGGACGATCATATTAATAGAAGTCCCGATCTTCGCCGCCCAAAACCCAAACAGCTTTGAGTAATTGCTCCGGACTTGGCTGATATTAGCCATCGCTTCCATGATGACCTCAAAATGTATATATATATATATATATATATATATATATATATATATATATATATATATATATATATATATATATATATATATATATAATTGTATTCCTTATCACTTGTGGGCTCAAATGAGAAACCCACCCCCCCCCCCCCACACACACACACACACGCACAAACCTTTTTAAACTGACAGCTCTCTTAGCTCACACCTCTAAATATAAAAGATCACCGCGGTTCAAATTAAAATCAGTGGCATAGGCTAGGGGGGGGGGGGTTAGACCCTGACCCCTATATATTATATAGTCATATATATAGTCATATATATAGTCATATATATATATATATATATATATATATATATATATATATATATATATATATATATATATATATATATATAGGATTATATACGATAATATACGTGTGGAAACATTTTTGAACCCCTCCCATGAGCAAATCCTGGCTACGCCACTGATTAAAATAATTATGGTTTTTACTATTTTTATCCTTTAAAAAATGTTTAAAATAAAAAAAAAAACCAACACACTCTAAACACTGAACCGACCCCCCCCCCCCACACACACACACCACACGTCACAATAATCCGAATTCACCCCCACCCCATTCTCTACTTCCAATGCGACTTTATACCGACGTTAGTTATCTTATATAGCAAACTTACCTTTTGTTTCTGACCCAAAGGGCGGCCCTGTACTCCCAGTACGACGGCAGCGATTAAAAGCACAACTATAATCACAGAATACATAATTATGATACATTTTAAATTTGAAGGTTTCCCTGAAACAGACGCACTTATCCTAATTATCTTCTGATGTGAATCTGTCTTTAGCTATTTTTAAAGATCAACATTGATTAAATATTAATACAAACGATTATATATATATATATATATATATATATATATATATATATATATATATATATATATATATATATATATATATATGTACACATACCAATCATGTTGAGGCAATTCTTCTGTATATAAATTAGTATCATCTAGCTTGGACAGATAAACAACATTACAGCTGTTCACGTGTTAAGTGCCCCGCCTCTTCACCTTTGACTTTTAAAACAGTTTTTAAAAATTAATTTGGTTAAAGTACATTTCCCAGTGAAATAAACCGTGTCTACATCCCGGGTGTTATTTAGAGATACAAACTGACCAAATATTCACGCATCAGTTAATTAACAACACGCAAGTCGGGCTAGTTAAGAGTCAGTTTGGATTGTCCATAGCTGTCACACTCTTGAAGGGTTGGGGGGGGTGACACTGATAGGCATGCAGCTTTCCTGCTTTAGTAGGAGGCGGCGTGGTGGAGTCTATAAAGCTCATGGTTGATTAACCGAAAGTCTGGCAGGCGAGTCTCGTTAGCTAGGGACAGCAACTCTTCTAAGAGAGACAACTCCAAAATAAAAAAGCTGCTGCCTTTTTGTAGTTTGTTCTTGGTTGGACAAAGGCTATGGAAGCAAATCTAAAAAGAAAAGCAGGCTGAAATCCGAGTCAATGTTGACATGTTTACTTAATTGTGTAATTAAGAACAAAGAAGAAGAACTGTCTCTTATTTTGTTCGTCCAAATTTACAATCCGACCATGTAATTTATTATTCGAGATCGCTTAATGACACGACTTTACCCAAATGATTTGTCGGGAGTTGTACTCGGTACTGCCACTAACTTCAATTCAATGACGTGTACGCAAACATTCAATTCAATTCTTTAAAATAAAACACAACTGTAAGGGAATGACATTAGCATAAAATACTCAAACGACTGAGTTATATACACAATTCAATTTAATTGAAATACAGACACAAATAGCAAAAGAATTTTGCTTTTTAATGAACTTTATTTTTCATGCAATATACAAAAAAAAAAAGGTACATTTTGTATAGTACTTAAAATGAAGTATATATATATCAAAGGTTTTAATTTTTTAATATAAAAAAGTGACGCCCCATTGGTAAATGACTTCAGATTTAATTGATTTTACCCCACATTTCTATCCTCAAGTTATGTAGTAAAGCACCATTTTCACCAAGCCGAGCTATAAAAGGATGAAACCATTTCAACCACCCTCTAAAGATGTATAATTTTTATTGTATTTAGTTTTACAGGAATTTAGAAGTACGATCTAATAAGTCAAGCTCTTTACTATTATACGCTTGTAACACATATATACGAGATTTGAAACTTTTTCCTTTGCAGGGTATCGTGTTAATGATAGATTACAATCCTTTATATGAAACGGGATAGTGAACTCTGACTATAAGCTATAGTATCAACAGAGTTTATAAAAAAATAAGCAAAGTAATATAATTTTACACTACCAGTGCTTTAATACACACACACCTTTGTTAGGCCGTATATTCATTAAACATGTTCATTATCAAACACATTAGAACAATGTTAAAACATGAAATGATTTTTTAATATTGAAAGGAAGATAAAATGTTAAAAACATGTTGTATGCTAGTATAATCTAAAGCCTCAGGCCACCAAGGAATGCGAAAAAAAAAAAAAAAAAAAAAATATATATATATATATATATATATATATATATATATATATATATATATATATATATATATATATATATAAATACACACACACACATATACATATATATATATATATATATATATATATATATATATATATATATATATATATATATATATATATATACACACTTTGTGTCTTCATCTACATCTACGGAGAGAGAGGGGGGGGGGGTGGGGTGGGTAGTCGACGGCTCCATCACGTTGCATCTATTCCCTAGATTCGCCTGGGAAGACCATGTAGACCAATGGCTGTATATATGATGGGTGATAACATGGACCAGGATGACTCTAAGCCAGCCGGGAGAATTCCGTGGGGTACAGCAGCATTGATGTCCCGTCCTGTGGGTTGGCTGTCAAACAAAAACAATTCTTGGTTAATAGAGTTGCCATTCAACAATATCAATGTGATATTTCCAACGCCTCACGTATATAGCAGCTTGTATTGTTAATTTTTTGTATTAATACCACCCTAATGTTATACCAACAGATTAGTAATACCAACCTATTCGTAAAGCGAGTATTTCCTATCTCAGAAAAAAAAATTCCAATTAAAAAAAAAACAGAGCCCAGAATGCTAATAACCGAAAACCTCATTTTAAGCAAAACACTTAGTCCTAACATTTTACCAAACTTTGATCCTATATTTAGACACCAACCAACATATACTTTACCTGTGTCACCAACTAATGAATATTGCATTATTGTAGTAATCAAGACCTTGTGACTCACCTAAGGACTTTTTCCACGAGAACTCGAAAAGGTCATCAATGTTTGCATAGCGCCACAGCCTGTATTCTGAAATCGTATTGTATGTACATGATGTAATAGTAAATTTTTGAACAAGAGTTTTTACATGTAACATGTGTCCTATAATTTATGCAAGACAACTGTGCTCTGTACAAAAAAGCTCTAAAATTGGGACATCCCCTATCCCTCATCGGGTAAAAATGTCTGAAAGAATCCTTGCGTTAACATATTCTTTCAACCTTTTCATATTGTTCAGTACACAAAAAACAAAAAATTAAAGAGTACGCAAATACAGTTTTAAATAACGTTGCAGTATAATACTAAAATCGGAAGGATTTACACTGGATATATAAATAGAATAATAGAAATAGATAGGTTTTATAGAATAAATCATGTGAATTGAAGCTTATTGCACAATTGTGTTACCGTAAAAAAATAGTGATATTAAAATCCGATGTATTAACGTTTTTCAAGACAGGGGGGGGGGTTGCTTTTCCGCCAACAAAAATCACAAGGTTTACACTGGATTAGTAAGAAGATTACCACGTAGATAAGAAACCAATTAAAGCGCGTTGTACGATTGTGTAATGTAATATTAAACAATAAAGAGTTAAAATTAACGTTAAAACGCGCTGTACCAGTTTTGCCCAACATGATGGGATTTGTGGCGTTTTTTTTTTTTTGCCAATAAAAATCGAATGGATTCGTACTGGATTGGTAAATAGGCAACATTTCGTCAAATCACTTGATTTTTATGAAGATCGATCTCTGATAATCCAGCCTCCCCCCATCTCTTTTTGAAACGATTTCCTTCATGACTTTTTTGTCTCCCCCTCTTCTTCTTACCCCGTTAACTTACACCAGCACCTGCTTAATGATGTTATTTACTGTCTTTCTGACAAAATGCCCTAACCACCACCTTTTTCTTTCTCCACTTTCTGTAAACTAGCTCCGAGCCATACGGTGAAAGAGACTTCACATTTAGCTATAGATCCTGCCTGAATTTTTTTTTTAACAATGTGTTTGAATTCCACATTGGTTTAAAAAGTCAAAAAGCATTTCGTCGCTGCTAATTCTAATCAGAACGTCATGGGCGGTACCACTATCATTAAACTGGTTATTACAGCTTCTTCAACCAGCACAAGCTTGTTTCGTCATACAATAAACAAGTCAACGAAATACCCATGCCGTATTCCAATGTGAACAATAAATGTTTCTGATATTTTGTTATTGTGTATCACTGGTATGACCTTTTTCTAACAAACTTATAATCCAGCTGTGTAGCAAAGATTGTTCCGAAGATAGAACATAAAAAACTGACCTAAACAAATTAGCGCCTGCTAAAAACTACCGTCTCTCTCTATATTTCTTTCTGACATTGTTAATATTTTTTTAAGGATGACACATCTTAAGGGGAATTTAATTGGCTTCGAGTAAAGTTTTAGGGAACGAAAATCGTACACTTTAGTTATTAAGCCCTTTTTCGGACTGTCGCATATACTCACACATACATACACACATTTTATATATATATATATATATATATATATATATATATATATATATATATATATATATATATATATATATATATATATATATATATATATATATATATGTAAATATATATATGTAAATATATATATGTAAATTGAAAGTTCGCCCCGGACGCCAGGAGGGTTCGCTAGGCCCCTATACGATGTTACATCCGCCCTTGCTATCTACGTGACCCTCAGGCCTTAGCTAAACGTGAAATATTCAATAAATTGTTAAAGTTGAGATAACTTATCTCCTTTAGTTCAAATGGTTTATTATAAATTGTCTCCCTTTGCGAGATAAATGTTATATACATACATATATATATATATATATATATATATATATATATATATATATATATAATCTTGTTAAATAAAAATATCATTACATAATAATAAGAGTGACTGAAATATTCTTGAACTGATATTGCAACATACCCGTGTTGGTGGGACCTAGCACACTTAGGAACCTGCCCACAAGAATCTCTTTAGTATCGTCGCCAGATGCAGGAGGTGCCGCAGCAAACCCTTTGAGAATCTCCAACTTGTAAACAGCTGAAATGTGATCAAATATTTAATCTGTTGCTGATTTCGTACTGTATTATGTAACCGATGCTTTATTATAATGCTGTATTATCATGCAGCATGTATCCTATTTTGGTTAGGAAAATTGATTAAATTAGATAAAAAATTGTTTAATAAGATTTTTTTTAACTGTACATATATAGTCCACACTATATGAAAAAAAAACTCTTTAGATTTTAATATATATATATATATATATATATATATATATATATATATATATATATATATATATATATATATATATATATATATATATATATTCCTAAAAACATAAATTTACCTTTGCGGTCTGGGTCATTAACAAAGTTCGTATTAATTTGCGTGTGTGGTACAGTTGTCATTAGTGCATTGGTCCAGTCGTGTACAGCAGGTAGAAACTTCGAGACAAACTCGGTATTCCAGGTATCATTTCTCCCCAAATTGGTACGAACCGTTCTTCGCTGGGATAAGCTATCTGATGATAAAGATGTACAGAATTTTTTTTTACATGATTTATAGAGGAAGTAGATTCTAGGTCCAAATAGCATCTTGGCACAATTTATAAGGAATGATTTTGGTCCAACATAATAATGAAAAAATATAATGTTAAACCTAAGTATGATGGCTTTTCATAACAGATTTAACAATAGTTTAATGTTGTCTGTAAATATGATGCCAAACTGTGCATTAAAACATATATTTGATCAATTGTGTGTATAACATGGAGGAAGTTAAATGGCCAGGAGCTAGTGGATAATGTACAACATAGTTTCGTTCTAACTTAAATCTACTAATATCAATTATTTCACTCTTGTGGTTGGGGGGAGAGGGGTGTTGTGACAAGTGAGAAGAGTGGGAGTTGGGGTTGGGGGTTAAGAAAGTGTGATGTAAGCAGTTCGTTTTTTTTTTCATTTTAAAACTCTGATTACTTAATTTCTTCTTCTTCTTCGTTCTTAAAGTTTAGTGTTGGGAGTGGTCGAGCCTTATCTGCCAGAGGGTTTGAACTCGAGACTTTTTTAGAATTTATCAACCATGAGCTTTTGCCGACTCGACCATGCTTCCTTCACAATTAAGGATTATGCGCCATTGACTCCGATTTCAGCCTGCTTTTCTTTTTGGATTTGCTTCCATAGCCCTTGTCCAACTAAGAACAAACTACAGGCAGCAGTTGTTTGATTTTGGAGTTGTCTCTCTCCTAGAAGTGTGGCTGTCCCCAGCTAACGAGCCTCATCTGCCCAGGGTTCGAACTCGAGACTTTTTACCGACTCGACCACGCCGACCCCATTCCTTAATTAAAACAATGACTGTAATTTTATCAGTTTTGTTTTTCATTACATTTTTTCCTTTATAATAAATAGTGATAAACCAATCTATTCTTGAGGTGAAACTATAAGTAATAAACAGTGATTCTTTCGGATATAGGGCTGGTAAGTAGGTCACCAACCAGTTCTTAGGCTCATGCAGGTTTTATTGAGCCGTAGAACTGGTTGGTGTCCTACTTACCAGCCCTATTATTTCCACGAAATGTATGCTTGTCTTCTTTTGATACAAGGTAGGTTGTATCATCATCATCATCATCATCACGATCATCATCATCACAAAAGGTTTTTAAACACACTGCTGCTTAATTAGATTTCTACTTTATTTTCGTGCGTTTCCTCTTTTTCCTTGCTAGAAAAAAAAAATATCATCTAACTTGTAGTCTTATGTATCCTAAATTGTCACGACGTACTTAGAATATGTAGCTTATGGTTTGACATCTCTTTTGAAACTTAGATTTATTTAGCAAGTTCTTACGGCGTACAAGCATTCCATGTTTTCCCGTTAAATGATAGATACCTTTTGTGTAAGTGTATCTTTTTCATCGGTTTTTAAGTCGAGTCAGCCTTTTGACTTTCAATGCGCACCAATTTTAACCTTTTAACCTTCTTAGCATAGCTCCGCTCTCACTTAAGTTTTTTGTGGTTTTGTTTTTTATTCGATTTCTGTTGATTTTTCCATGGGCGCGTTATCTGCCTACCGCAAAACCCAAAAATCGTGCGGAGGATTTAACTCCGTTTGTCTGACGCGTCTGACAGATTTCGACCAATCAAGAGCTATGTTCCCGCCCGTATGGCTATAAATATCGTCACATACTAGGTATGTGCATCGGGCAACAGATGTTCATTGATTTGGTTATTCTTTATAAATTCATACATATACTGTGAAATTTAAAAAAAATATTAGTGTGTTTTAAAACATGCAAAATGTTTAAAATTGTGTTTTAAAATTCCTAATGGTATTTACCGTACTCCGCAATGTGGACAAGCTGATTGATAGAAGTCCCGATCTCCCCCGTCCAAAAACCGAACACTTTTGAGAAACTGCTGCGCAGTTCGCTGATATTTTTAAACGCCTGCATTGTGGGTTTGTAGTCCTTGACGTGGATGCGATACATGCGAAGCTCGTAAATTTTGGAAGGTGGGGAGTCCACATCGTTGCTGTAGTTAATCTGTAATATGATATAGACTCTATATATATATGTGTGCGTGGGTGCGTGGGTGTGGGTGTGTGTGTGTGTGTGTGTGCGTGCGTCTGAAAAGACCACTTCATTCCTCGTAACTTCTGCTTCCATTTCCATCAGAGAAATATTAGTTTGACAGCTTGAGAAATGATTGTGTAATGCTTGTAATATTAGTTTGACAGTTTGAGAAATGATTGTGTAAAGGTTGTAATATTACTTTGGCAGTCTGAGATATGATTGTGTAATGCTTGTAATATTAGTTTGAAAGCCTGAGCAATGATTGTGTAAAGCTTGTAATTTACACAAAAAAAAATAAACATGTTGTTACGACAGAGCTATGACTATTCGGCTAAAATCCAGTACGCAGTATATAAACATGGACACCCTCTGCTAAATGTTTTCCAGGAAACCATATCTACAAATATGCTGGAATGGGGCCAAATTGTATGAATGGTTCATATACGAGAATTCATAACTTGCTCTGGTGTTAAATGATAAACTTCCACCTCAGCGAATTTAGATGCCATTGGTGCTTACATTTGTCCCCAAAAGACGTCATATATCATATATCGAGTTAAAAGAGAAAAAAATCAGACAATTTCTGAATGATGACCTTTTGTATGAAAGGGGCGGTGGGTGGGTGGCGGGTTAAATTATGGCCAAATTGGTCGCGAGCTAAATTAACATAATTTCTTTCACGAGTAATTGCATTTTTGTTCAGGGTCATACATGAATGACGTCATGCTTTTTAAACCTGATTTCTACACCCCCCCCCCCGTTAAATCACCTTAAATCGCTACCACCTTAAATTACACGTTTCCACCCCCACCCCCCCCCCCCACACACACACACACATACACACACACAACGTCCAGTCAAGCATCTATAATTCTAAAAGAAAAATCTAATCATATTTTTCTTTGTGTTATCATTGTATCATTTTCTTTTTTAAAACAATAAAATAAACACTAGTTAACACCTTCTTACCACCATCATTCCCTCGTCACACAATGTCACAAGACAGAGACCCCTCCCCCTCATGGGGAATGGGCATCATTAAACGACCCCCTTTTCAATTACGCAATAACCAAAATACCAATTTTACTTACTCTTACCTTCTGTTTCTCACTCGAGGAGTATTTCTGTACACCAATGACGATGACAGCGATTAACAGAACAAAAATGATGACGGAGAGCAGGATGATGATACATTTTAAAGGCCTCGACTTCCCCAGAAAGACAAACCTGTCCCCAGTCACTTCACGCGGAGTGCCGTCTTTAATCATTTTTTTTTTAAATTCTCCAAAAAATCAGCGTTGATAAAATGTGAATTAAAAACAATGTCAACACTGCCTTGCGCAACACACAGCTACACAATAGCCAACTGATGTACTTTTTTCCAAGCACTCCAGATGAATATGCCCTCTAATTAGTAGCACATGTCACCATTACACATAACCCCTGCACAAATTAGTGCTTACAGTTTACTGGGAGAACATCCAGCAGTTGCGAGCATTTCGGAGAATCCGTAGCGCTTTTTCTAAAAATAGTTCAAGGACAAAAGATGCGATATGGTGGATCAGTTAGGAGTGTGGGAAAAGTGCGTTTAGATCAGTCTGTCGACAGCGGCATAACTAGAAAAAAAGCTACCTATGTACTGACACACACACACGCACACGCGCACGCATCCACGCACGCACTCACACACACACACACACACACACACACACACACACACACACACACACACACACATATATATATATATATATATATATATATATATATATATATATATATATATATATATATATATATATATATATATATATATATATATATATATATATATATGCACAAACATACATAATAAGCAAGTTCAAAATATTCTTTGTTTACCATCCAATCAAAAAACACATAAACAGCTAAACCCTTTTGTCACGTGGGAGGTGCGCTCGCCTTGACCTTTTACTTTTGTTAGGTCATGTAGACCTTCCCCATTTGTGTTGGGCACAAAAAGAAAAAGAAGATGTAGACCTTGGTTTTTGTTGTTGATGTTGCTATTTTTTTAAATTAGATTAGATTTTTAAAATAATTCTTGTTTAACTACTCGCAATAAAGCTGTGTGTACTTTCAGTGTGAACTTAGACAAGCGACGAGAGAGATAGAATGTATACAGGTCTGTTTTTGTGAGGCGGTGGTAGTTGTGGTAGGTTAGTGTTGAGCTTAGAGTGGAGACTGGGTTAAGATTTAGGTGGGAAATGATTTAGGGGAAGATTTAGGTGGGGAATTTATTTTTTAAACAAACAAGTTCATGTGTAAATGGGGGGGGGGGGGAATAGGAGGTACGCGTGTTTCATTTTTAAATAAAATCGAGGGAGAATAGGGGGGGGGTGTTGTGTGATGACGCACATGCAGAGGCGTAGCGACCTTTCCCGGCGCCCGGGGACAAACTTTTCGATTTGCACCCCCCTACCTCGAGTTTTCGATTTGCACACCCCCCCCCTCAAACTTTCGATTTGCACCCCCCCCCCCCCCTCGAGATTTCGATTTGCACCCCCCCCCCCCCAAACTTTCGATTTGCACCCCCCTCAACCTTTCAACTTATTTTTCCAACCCATTTTGGCGCCCCCTAAGGTTGGCGCCCGGGGACATATGTTTCCCCCCCTCCCCCGCCCCCCCCCCCCTCGCTACGCTACTGCGCACATAATAAGGAATTTGTGAGGGTGGTGTTTTTTTTTATAACGAGACGACCGTCGAGTCCAGTCTATATTTATGGAAAACTCATTAAACTTTCATGGTCCACTGAGATAATAAAAACAAATTAACAATGCAACCTTTCTCGACACTCCCATCAGGAAGCGAAAACAAAACACAACAACCATAAACAAGTGGTATATCCCCAGCTGTTGGCTGTTGTCAGGAAACGACCACTAAATTAAATGAGCGCTAGGGGTGTCGAGTTGACCAACAACTTGAGATATCTTCCGGTATGATGGGAAAATTTAGAGCGTTTGTTTAATTTTTTTTTTTTTTTTTTTTTTTTTTTTTTTGATGCATGCCGTTTGAAAAATGTATCAAACGAACTGGAAAAATAATAAAAGAGTAAAAATAAGAAATCCTCTATAGACCTAGCGATCCATTGGGCAGCTGTTTCTTGACCTCGGCATATGAAAGAAAGGTGTGGTCAGCACTTTGCCCAGTCGCATTTACTTTCCCTAACATGAGTTAGGTACCCATTCGAACTCGAGGCTTTTTCCGGTTAGCAGCCTAGCATCTACCAGGAAAGATAATAGCTTTCAACGAAATGGAATATATAAAATCAAAATTGTTGTATTTTCATTTTAGGTTGAAATTTTTAAAAGTGGTGTTTCTTGTTTTTAGTGAGTAATTATAAATGGAAGTCACGTGCTTTTAAGCAGTGTTTCTTCCAGACTTTTTTCTCCGGGGGGACGGGGGGGGGGGGGGGGGGGCATTTTTCGGGGGGGGGGGGGGGCGGACCCTGGTAAAAGCATATGTTTTCTATATAAATTCCATTTCGTTCGGGGGGGGGGGGCTGGAAGAAACACTGCTTTTAAGCATTCACGATTCCTGATATTTTTTATTTTTGTGTCACGCAATTGATGTAAAAATTAGTTAAATAAATCAGTAAAGCTAAGTAGTCGTCTATATTATTGACTTCGACTGTGTAAAATTCAGATATGCACTTCAGAATGAAGTTTATTTTTTCCTTAGGGTCGGCGCCCTGGGCGGCCGCCCCACCCGCTCTCCCCTAGCTGCGCCAATGCTCGGGCGCCAGAATAGGTCGCTACGCCTCTGGTGAAGAATGTGTTGTTTTATTTTATAATTAGACGGGTGGTCTATGGAAATGTACAAAATCTATTCTTTGTCCGTGTATAGTATAGATCTAGTATTGAACTAATATGGGTAAGATCGCTCAGAGGCGTAGCGAGGGGGGGGGAGGGGGCGAGGGGTGCGGACCGCACCGGATGACACCATTTAGGGGGGTGACACCAAGGCAAAAAATAGCAAAATTTATAGAGAAAAATGATAATTCCATTTAATTAAGTGATTAATTCGAGTGTTAAATAGTCTTTTAAGAGGTGCAAATCAAAAATTGAAAGGGTCGCTACGCCTCTGGGGGGTGACACCATTAAGTGCCGCACCGGTGACACCCGACCTCACTACGCCACTGCGATCGCTTTCAACCTGTTTTAAGTTTTAATTGAGATTTTTTTTCTTTTGTTTTGCAAGTATATCTACTACAAGTAGTAATCGTTATTTTTAATTTTTCGATACTAAAAGTGGGTGTGACTGCGTAGTGATTCTATTTCCGTTTTCGCAATACTTTCGATATTATAGAGAATTACTCACTATACTCTGGTTCCGGTCCTGTTAATCACTGTTATTGACCTAGAGAGCTAGTCTATGTGCCTAAACAATATCAACATTTGAGTATGAAGTTGCTTTTTATATAATAATATAATCAGTCGTATCTTTACTGCTTTAACTGCTAAAAATCAGATCAGATCTAGACTAGATCGTAGCAGCTAGCCGAGACTTAAACGAGGGCGAGGAGCCGAAAGGTATTTTTTTTTATTATTTTTTTCCCCAAAGTTCCAAGAAGTTAAAAAAATCTTAGATCTAGAATCTAGATCTAGTCTAGATCTAGCTAGATTCTAGTCATAGTGGGTTTTTTTAGTAGATATTAGTTCTAGAAATCTAGATCAACTTGTTACTTGTTGAACTTAGTCTTTTATTCTTAGATTAATAGATAGGCCTACAATAAAACATAGATGAATAATGAGTCAATGACAGCCTGAGAAATGATTGTGTAAAAAACTGTAAAGTAAAGCTTGTAATTTAAAATAAAACCCAACAATAAACATGTTGTTAAGAATATTAGAATAAGTAAAGAATAAAGATAGAACTGTGACAAATCAGCTAAAAAACACTTTTTATATGTTCTATAACATCGTCATTGCTCATATCATAATATTATATCTATATTATCTCATGTCAAATTGTTCCTATCTTAAACTAAGCAATGTTCAAATTTTTTTTATTTTCCCCATTGAAATTTATAATACGAGCCGACCCGCAGCGTATCATACGCCGCTATTTAGTTGTTGTTTTTTCTACTTTTCAGTAATTGAATTCATAATTTGTGAATTCGACAGTACCAACGCTGACACTGAAAATATTTCTTTAAAACACGATAAGTAGCTCGTTAAGGACCATAACCCCCCCCCCTTTCCTCCCCCCCCCCCCAACATTTAAAATCGTTTCAAACTAAATTATCTGCCCCTAATAGCCGTCACTAAACCCGACTCCACGCAGGTAAACATAGCGTGAACCACAGCTCACTAAGACCATGTAGGGGTGGGGATGGTAGGGAGCGCGTTTACAGCCTTGTTTTCTAGCGTCTCCCAGAAGAGAATTATATATATAGATGTAGCCTACTATTGTACTAGTAGTAAGGGGTCAGTGGTCAAGCCGGGTAAAGCTCATGGCTGCTAAACCGAAAGTCTCGAGTTTGAACCCTTATGCAGACGAGTCTAGTCAGCTGGGGACAGCCACTCCTCTAGGAGAGTCAACTCCAAAATCAAACAACTGCTGCCTTGTAGTTTGTTCTTGGTTGGACAAAGGCTATGGAAGCAAATCCAAAAAGAAAAGCAGGCTGAAATCTGAGTCAAAAGCCTATATGATATGGCGCATAACAAGTTTACACGTATACTTAATTGTGTTGGAGGGAATCCTTTCCAACACTAGATAATTAAGAATGCAGAAGAATAAAGAAGAAGAAGTTGTAGTAGCAGAATTTCTTCCAGGCATCCCCCCCCCCAAATGAAATGAAATTTATATAGAAAATATATACTTTTAACAGTGTCCGCCCCCCCCCCCCCCCCCCCCAAAGAAAGTCCACCGCCCCCCCAAAAATTTCAAGTGCCCCCCCCCCCCGGAGAATAAAGTCTGGAAGAAACACTGACTAGTAGTAGTACTATTTAGTCACATACAAATAATACATTTCGGCCTAATCCTCCCAACTCCAGGGGGTAAAACTATGCAGTAAAAGAAACTAATAAAAACACATTTTTTGTTTTGTAAAAACCAAAAAAGCCTGCTGGTTTGGTGCTATATCATATAATTTATTCTTTCTAAAAACTTTGTTCATGCTTTGTTAGTCAACATTTACCAACTTAGTAAAATATATGTATATTTGTATTTATGTTATTATTTTATATTTACAGTAATTGAATTCAACATTAACCATTTAAATGGAGGAAACAAGTTCACCAACAGCTGAAAACAGCAATACAATTTACATTTGGAAATTTCCCATAGACAGATCATATGTCAAGTCTATAAGTAGCATTCTAAAAGTAGCAGCTGCAGTAAGAAAATTTTTAATTAGTAAATAGAGAGTAGATTATTTTCTATTTTTAATGTTCAATTTTTTAATAAGTAAATAGTTAGAGAGTAGATTATTTTCTATTAATAATGTTTAGTAATTTTTTTGTAATTTTTAGATATTTTTTTAAAATGAGTAAAAAAAATCACAGCTTTTGCCCCTTTGTATAGTCTATAATCTGGATTTCAGAAAACAAAATTGCATTGTCCATTGTCTTTTCAGGGCATAGCAGGCATAGTTGTACACAGTTTGAATTGCTTCCCTCTCAAACACAAACATTGACTTACCTGACTGATAGTCTTAACATTAACCTTAATACTTTAACCATAAATAACTTAAACATTGCTTGTTATTTAATATGAAAGGTTGACAAAACAGTACTGGCTACTTAAAAACTTTGGTGACAGATGAATCATGAAGCACTACTCTTAATAGTGAATCAATTCGGGATAGTTCCTCATCCATTACTTGAAAAGTTGATTAATTATGCCATATTATTTAGTACATCTTCTGTTTCAAAATATTTTGGTACTTAGTGTAATTTTGATTGTTTAAATTATGAGGCAAAAGTTTTATAAACTGATCATCCTGCTCAATTATTGACTGGTCATTATTAGCCTTTACATCATCACAACACTTTAGTTAAACTCGTTCTAAATTTTCCCTTTTTAGCAACAACTTTTCAGAAACCTCCATGCTTACAAATATGGCAATAATTACCAGTAATCAACAAGAATTACAGTACTTTGTTATTTCTCTTCTCTACAGTGCATAGCACTTATTGCTTTTATCTGCTGCGCCTCAGGACGGTCAGATGTGTGTGATAAAAGCTACTCGTCCACCTACAACTTCTTTGAGTTTGTCACTATGTCATCATTCATCACCCTTCTGATTCTGTGGTTCTTTTTTGCCCTGACTTTGAATACAAAACTGTTTTTCAAACTACTGCCCTGGACTCTTATAGTAAGTAGCTGTGTGAGACTTTGTCTCTGATTTGATTGTAAACATTTTCATAACCACACAATTTAAAAAATTTTTTAGGTTAAACAATGAAAAAGTAAAAATGTTGTGTGCGTTCTGTGAAATATATTGTCTAATGTTAAATATAAAGTGTAAAATGTTTTTCAATGTAAGAAAATTCACCATAACAGAAAATTTAGAAAAATAGAAAATAACACAACTTAAGTTAACTCATTTTTTAAAAAATGTGCCTGGTATTTAAAAAACTTATTTTCACGGTAAGAAGTAGGGGTTTCAGACTTTTATATCTGGGTGGGGGGAGGGATGTTTCACAATTTATGATGTATAACAATGTAATTACCAGTTATTTAAATTATTTTTGTGACTAGTACTACAAAAATACCCAGCTCAGTTAGTATTTTTTAAAAAGAAAATGAAATTTAAAAAAAAAATGCTGTACATAATTTGTGCTCAAAATTTTGTAATCTTTCAGGATCTGGGTTACCTGATACTGTACATCGTACTCTACCTAATTGCAAACATTGTTCTGGCCGCCCAGGCATGTGGCAAAGACAGCAATAAAGCTGGCGCAGTAAGTCAATCAATATCTTTACCCTTATAATAATTAAGTCAATCAATATCTTTACTCTTATAATAATTAAGTCAATCAATATCTTTACTCTTATAATAAAGCTGGTGCAGTAAGTCAATCAATATCTTTACTGGGTATCAATTGTTACATATAGAGTAGCAGTTGGTGCATATTGTATTGAGTGATCATTTCATTCTGATAAATATCAAACACTGATAAATTACATCGCCTAAAGAAATAACCATATAGTTTCACTACATTCTCTGAAGGAGAATAAGGAGTTGAAAATTGCTTGTAGAGTTTTGTGCCCCTTTATTATATGGCTAAATTTTGAGTGAAGCATACACACATTAATCTATGAGACCTACGAGACACATCTAGAGTTCGAACACTGAACAGCGCAGTGAGATGTTAAACTTTTCAAATTACCCAGATATGAATTAATGTAATAAAAGTAAATTGAAGCATCATTTTCTAACATAAGAAATATTTATAAACCATTTTTTAAAAGCATCTCTTTTTGCTTTGTGTTTGTGGGAGTAGTTAACCTGTCATTTCATTAGGGCATTAGTCTCTACTTAATCCTGAGCTACTTTAATTAACACCCCCTCCCACTCTATTGTTAACTTATCTTCGTATTGTTAGTACAAACAAAAACGATTTATATTATTCCAGTGATATCTTAAGTTAATTAAATTGTTTGTTTGACTAATTAGACCAATATAGCTAATTAATAATTCTTTTCTACAGGCTTTTGGCTTTTTCGCAATGTTTTGTCTGTGTGGGAATTTCTTCTTTGTATTCCGTGATTGGCGGTCATCAAGAAATCAGTCGGCTTCTTCCAGCGCAGGAAAAACTCAGGAGTACAACTCTGAGCGCAACATAGAGCAATATTAACCAAATTTAATACTGTTTAAATGATCATATTATGTTTACATTTGGTGATAAACATTTATTGTGAAATGTATTGTGATCCAGCTATGACTAGTATAGTAACATGACTATCTAAACATTTTGTTTCTTGCTGCCAAACTTTACTGCACCCTTTAACTTTTGAGCCCGTGCAATTACTTACCTACCACCGTAACTATTTTATACACCAATTACTCTTCAGAATGCTTCTGGCTGATATTTTTAGATTATTCTTATTTTTATAAAATCTGATGAGCTGTGAAAAATTTAATGTTACCTTTTTTTAAAATACTTTATGATTAATGTTTTGAATAATTTACAAAGCAATTTTTTTTTTAAATTTGTATTTACTAAACACTATATTATAAACTAATAAAGTTTAAAAATCATTATTTCAGACTATAAATAATCCGGTTATTGAATTTGTGAATAATTTATGTTCTTTTAATTAAACAATGTATTTAAAGATTTTATGCAATTTATCAGTTATTCATTAGAATTTTAAAAATTCTCTGTGTTAGTGTTTATTGAGAGAAATTTAGGAAGGTAATAAGTTAAAAGTCTTAATAATTATGTACATTTTCTAGTGTCAAGCAAATGTAATAACAATAGCAGTAAATCAAATATTTAAATCTTTAAATGAAAATGTAGTAATTATAATTATTGATATTGTATTTAAATTAAACTATTAAATTATTATTAAATTACATAAAATAAATTGTCAATATATAATACTTTATTGTAAAAATGTGTTCTTGTTATTGATGAATGAATATATATTTATTTTAGAATACATTGTATTTAGCTGCTGAAATACCAGAGACAAATTAGAATAAAGTGCAAACAACAAAATAAAATTTTTGAGTACAGAGTTATTAAAGTGTGATGTAATTCTTATAAGAGTGATTGATGCTATAACCATTCCACTATTTATAACTGTTGTTGATCAATGAAAATATACACGTATTTATGTTATTCTAAATTATATATTTTTATACTTATTCTGCCTTTAAAATTAATAAGCAATTCAAATGAATCATTTTAATTGTTTATTTGATGTTTTACAGTAGTTTTTTTAAAAATCAGTATTAATATTACCATCATATTTTAGTTTTACCAACTGGGAAGTAAATCCATTTCATTTTGATTTCATAAAAAAAAGAAGTGTTTACATCTCACATAAGGACTGTTAGGTCTCAACAAGATTTGAATTGTCACATTTTTTTGTAACGAAGTTATGTCCTGTTATTGTAGTTTTATTTTTTTTAAATTAAATTTTTAAATTGTACTTAATTTAATTTTCCTCACTAAATTTACCTGTTCTTAATCTAAAGAAATATTAACTTTTAGCTAATGTGAAACAAAAAAGGTTAGTGCCTGTGTGCTATTTACACAAGAGTTATTATGTATGCTTTTTTAAATATAGTTATTTCTATTAGATTTGCTTTGACATGGGTTACTTCCCTGTTTTTTAACTCTCTTACATAATATATCATCAGTAAAACTGTATGAGTTAACATGGTGTAGTTGTAATGTATGTTCAACATTGCCAAGATCAAATTGTAAACATATTCATTTAATTTGTTTGTGGACTTAACACCCCAGCTATGTACAGCACATATTAGATGTTCAGTTTTAATTTTAAGAATTTTGCTGTAATTTTGCTCACTTATTTTAAAACACTTTTTTACATAATATTTTTTTTTTTAAACTTGTTTTATTTCCACAAATCCAAATGAATTAAAAGTAACTATGAACAGAATGTGTTAAGTTATTCAAATTACAGAAATTTTTTTTTAAATTACATACAAATATTAATGCATTGCCTCCCTTGGAGTGTAATAAATAACATGAAATCTTATCTTTAAAAAAACAGAACTAGTTTGTTTATTTAGGAACCACCAGTTGTGTATCCTTGGAAATCCAAAATATTGATGAAAAAATGACCGCATATGCTACCAAGGACTTGAGACTTAACTAGATGTACTACAGATAGGAGCTGAGCTGTATGTGTTTTTGGTGGCAAGTCTGCAGAACCAGTACAGATGTCAAGCATAACAAACAAAATGTAGTTTTAACTTTCAGCTTAGCTCTTCTCTTATTTTCTCTGAAGCTTATAAATGCACACCCAGGTCTGAAGTTTCACATATATAAATATATATATATATATATATATATATATATATATATATATATATATATATATATATATATATATATATATATATATATATATATATATTTATATGTGTGTGTGTGTGCATAAGATGGTGTCAACCTATACCTGACGAACTATTATGGATAGATATTTCACCGTATTAAAATTTTAATGTGCAGTTAAAAATCGTGTAAGGTGCTCAATCTTGTGGTCAAAGAGGAACAACTGCAAAAATTACACATCTAACAAAATATATTTGGTTACCTCCCTTATTTAAAAAACCGTTTATTTTTTTAAGTTGAAGTAGTTTGGACGCGGAAATCATGGTTGTTTCTTATTTTATAAATCAAACCAGAGCATTAGCAGAACCGTAATACTTTTTTAACCAGATCTTTTTTTTCTAGTCTAAGGGGAGCAATTGCAACAAACATTTTTTGAATGTACCTTTTTTGGTTATCTCTTTTCGATCGTCGAACATCATTATTTTTTTAAAATTCGTTTGCTAGTTAACAAGTGGGGAAAATGTATTGTATCAAAAAAATAGATATTTAGTATATTGGGTCTCTTATATAAATCAGACCAGGGCTACAGCAGAACCGTAAACTATTTTTCTTTACCTTAAAGGGGAGCAACTACAACGATACTCAAGAAAAGAAAATATCATTGGTAACTTCTCTTTGACCGTAAAATATCAAAACTAAAAAAAAAATGCACATGATTACGGATGGGAATATATTGTGAATGTAACCAAAAATTACATATCAATTATAATAATAATAATTGGATTCATAAATTGGGAACAATAGAAACTTTGGCGTGACACTCAATATAGTAACTAAACGCATCAATTATGCTGATATCGTTAACCCATCTTGATATTGACCGTAAAAGAAAATCCTAACATAGCGGTAGTGGACGCTAACACCCTCTATGAATAGAGTTCGTGTAAAAAAACTTGTTTGACATAATAAATTAAAAAAAAATAAGTTGTGTAAGTGTGATATACAGAAAGCCTACAAAGAATAACCAGTTACGTCCCAATCCTCCATTTTGCGCTCGAATGTTTAGACAGAGGCGTAGCACCCTTCCCGGCGCCCGGGGACAAACTTTCGGTTTGCACCCCCCTCAAACTTTCAATTTGTTTTTCCAACCCATGTAGGCGCCCCCTAAGTTCGGCGCCCGCGGACATACGTCCCGCCACCACCCCCCCCCCCCTCGCTACGCCTCTGTGTTTAGATGCCTTTGTTGGTATGTTTCCAAACAGGGGAGTTTATCAGAAGTCAACACTGGAACACTAATTTAAAGAGAGTAGTTCCCCATCTGTTTATGCCGCCAGTATTATCTTCCGGACAAATTGCTAATTGTTTATAAGAGGAATTGTCCACTTTCAGTAGATTCAAAGTGCTGAAAGTCAACGCCCATAAATCTGAGACTGTTCGCAATTTTATTATAATGTAAGTAGATCTAGGTCTAAAATTTAAACCGCCTAATGTTAGATCTAGATCTAGCTAGACAATCTTGATAATCTAATCTAGATCTAGATCTAGATCTAGAAATCTAGATCTAGCTAGATTCTAGTTTAAGTTAAGTAACTGTGTTAGTAACAGGCTCAGTTACTTACTTCCATGGTGTGTGGCTCCCCCCCCCCCCCCCCCCATCGCTTGTCAGGATCGTCAATTTGCACGTAAAAGTCTTGTTAACTCTAATTAATCATTTATTAAACTGGCCAAAAGCATTTTTTAAAATAGATTGTGCAATTTTTCGTCTTGGTGTCACCCCCAAATGATCTTAATTAAAATAATGTTAATAACAGATTTTTTTCCCTTCCAGCTACTTCTCTGTATAGTATAAAGTATAAGTTGTAGGCCTAATATTTATAATATTTATATGCTTTTATATAAAAAAAAATAGATAACTACTGGCATCTTATTATGTTCATGTTGCTGTGTCTTTTATACACTGATTTGTCAAACTTTAAGTGTTAAGGCCCTTATTACTTACACTACAGTATAGTCAGTATAGTGTATCTTCATCATCATCTTATATCCCATTCGTGCCCAAGAAACTTGGGGGAGATGAAATAAAACTCATTTTTTTCAATGACCTTAGCATATGAGGGATAGTGTGGTCAGCACTATGGCTCGTCGCTTATGTTTTCCTTTACGTGAATCAGTGTTGTGTGGGCTCTAGGACATCTTACAGAATGAATCTTGTCCGGAACCCAAAGTTGAGACTTTCCACATAGCAGTTGTAAGCTGTACCTTGATCAAGCCGTCCTTGCAGTGTATTTATAAGATGGCTGTAATTTGTTTCACATGTTTCTCATATAACTATAAAAACATTAAACATTTTGTGTATGTTTTTTGTACACAAAAGGTAATTAAAATTCTAATACACAGATATGTTTTTAGAGATCCCAAAACATGGACCAAACAACGTATGAACAAACCACTGAGAAAGCTATCGCCAGTTCAGGGTTAGGATCGCACCGTGAATATATTAGAACTGTTCCAGGTATACTCAAATTAACTGAAATTGTAAGTATTTTTAGTTATAGCTTTTAGATTTATTTAATTATTAGTTTTATATATTTTTTGCTGTATTTTTTTTTTACAATATAAAAATAATTTTAATGATTTTTATTGCTCAATGAAATTCAATGTTGAAGTGATTTAAATAATAGATTTAAAATAATTGATTGGGTTTTCATTTTTAAAATAAAGTTGTTTTTTTTTTTTAACAACATGGCAGGGGGCTTAACTGATGGCTTTCTATATGTGCATTGTATCACCAGGCGGTCAGTGTTCTAGTCCTGATCTGTGGATCCATTGACTACTGGTCACCTTCAGGCGGAGGCTGGGTGTATTTTGTCGGGGTCTCTGCCATCATTACAACACTGATCGTTTTCTTGTTGCATTTCTGCGGTGTGGCCAGCAAATTCAGTCCCAAGCTCTGTTTTGTGGTACAACAAATTATTATCCTTTGTTATTTTAAAAACAAAATGTAATAGCACGTTGAAAACAAACAGTTAATATGAGAAATAACAAGTATAATACAATATAACAAGTATAATACAATATAACAAGTATAATACAATATAACAAGTATAATACAATATAACAAGTATAATACAATATAACAAGTATAATACAATAAAACAAGTATAATACAATATAACAAGTATAATACAATATAACAAGTATAATACAATATAACAAGTATAATACAATATAACAAGTATAATACAATATAACAAGTATAATACAATATAACAAGTATAATACAATATAACAAGTATAATACAATATAACAAGTATAATACAATATAACAAGTATAATACAATAAAACAAGTATAATACAATATAACAAGTATAATACAATATAACAAGTATAATACAATATAACAAGTATAATACAATATAACAAGTATAATACAATATAACAAGTATAATACAATATAACAAGTATAATACAATATAACAAGTATAATACAATATAACAAGTATAATACAATATAACAAGTATAATACAATATAACAAGTATAATACAATATAACAAGTATAATACAATATAACAAGTATAATACAATATAACAAGTATAATACAATATAACAAGTATTATACAATATAACAAGTATTATACAATATAACAAGTATAATACATTTATGTTTGGTTTATCTACACAAACTTTTGAAAAATAAATACCAAGGGGTTGTCCATAAAAATGTCAACAATTTTAATAACCTCTCTCCAATGTCAAATCTCGCGAAATCCTTATATGACTTTACACACACACACCCCCCCCCCCCCCCCCCCCCCAACACCTGAGTGAAATTATTTGTGGTTGTCTCCCAAGCTTAAACACATTTGTACTTCATCAACCCAACCATTTCAGCAGAAATAGCAATTCAAAATATATTTATCTTTGTTTTGTCAATGTATTTGAAATGTATTTATCTTTGGTTTGTCAATGTATCTGAAATGTCTTTAACTTTTACCTTCAGGAGTTCTGCTACTACTGTGTGTTTGTGTTCCTGTACATTACAGCTGGCATTTCCTGTGCAGCCTTTGCACCTTACTTCCCATCAGTTGGAGCTGCTGCTGTAAGTTCTTGCTTAGATCTGTTCATTAAGTTAAATAGTGCTATAGGGGTGGGTTACATTTCCAAGGAAACCCCCTTAATTTATCAATAGTTATAGTATTTTTATAGTTGATAAGCTTTGTATTAGATCTTGTAAAAATTGTTAGTACTTTCCTGTTTAATCTGAGACTTAAGTCAAGACTAACATGAATAGGTAATGCTCAAATGTTATCATTGCATAAAAATCTTTATTGCCAATGTGTGTGTACAATGTTGATATTTATTGTATTCACCTTAAAGATCAATTTCTTACCTTTAAGGTTTATCTGCTTTATATTATTTCTAATTTTATTGCTTTTGCTTTAACTTCAATAAATTGAATGGATTTGTAAGCTTCAAACTCTATATACATTATCAATATCTTTGCTCCCAACTTTTAGTTTTTTGCCTTTGTGGCTGTGGCTGTGTATGGAGTGGACACATTCCTTACGTACCGTGTGTGGAAAGGGAGCATCCCAGCCACAACCACCACAACCACATATGAAACCAAAACACAGTACTAAAAGCTGGACAACGGTAGTGTTACTGATGTGCTGAGCTGATGCACTGAGACTGGGTGATGTGCTCTGTTTCTCTTTCTATTTATTTACAATTAATTTAATCTTCTTTTTCTTAGCCTAGACTGAACAGAACTCTTTTCTTTTGCTACCTGTATCATTTCTTAATTTTAAAATATTAACCCTTTTAGCACTATAGTTGTATCATCACCTTATGTCATAGTTGATATGTTTTTATACCCTTTATTTTGAGCCTCAAAACTAAGGGACCAATTGTCAAACCATATTTATATCTTTGTTTTGTATTTCTAACTTATTTGTTTGTATTTACCTAATTTTTAAACAATGCACAATTTTTTAGTTATTGTAAAACAATATTTGTTTACTTTAAACCTTAAACTTGTACTTTTTTTTACCTTTTTGATTTTAAACCACATTAATATAAATAGAATATATATACACTCCTTGTTTTTGTTTGAGTTTAGGTTATGTAAAAAGTGTAATTTTAAAATTATTTTACAACACAATCCTCTGTTTTTTGCAGAGTTTTTCACCTTCATTAAGGCCAGCAGTATTATTATTTTACTTCATATTCTTTAGCAATATTATTAATGAATTATTGGCTTATTCTGAAAGGTCTTTTTTATTTTAACTTTCATTTTACCCAACATTGAAAAGCAATGGATGAGCTAAGTGTTTAAGTTAGTATTGTGTATACATTTGATAAATGTAAACCGCTTGTATCAATGTACCGCTCATAGTTATGTCATATGTTCAGCTGCCAAGTGTTAATTATGAGTTTTTAAAAACAATGTCATAAATAATTAGCCATTAGGCAGATCAAAGGTCAAAGATGGGCAAAGTAACACCTCATTGGCTCATTATTTTGAAGAAAGAACGACTCATTATTCATAAAGACATCAGATCTTTAAAAGTAATTTGTTTAACAAGTCACCTGTCTTTATGTTATGGGCTAACTTCAATCTTGAAGGTGGCTATTCAGATGTGGTTTTGTTCCATTTTTATCTCTTAAAAAGTTTAAATAATTAAGCAATAATATTTATTTATTTTAAATAAATCTCGTAACTCATGTTAGTATTATATACAAAATTGTGTCCAAACACATTTTATCAATATTTAATTTTTTTATCCATATACAATATCAGTACTGCAATTTAAAAGATATTATTCATAGTTTTAGTTTCCATCTCATTCTAAACTATTCAGTTTAAGTTATCACAATACCAGTTATAATAGTTTAACATGAGATGCTATTCATACAAAGTTTGAATGAACAACAGTGGTTTTATGTCAAGTTATTTTTATCAAATCTCACACATTCTAGTTCTCCACTATTTTCAAACTTGTTGTGTACAACTCATTCCAAATCTATGCTCCAATATAATGTAAATAGTTTTTCTTCACAAGCAACTCCACTAGTTTAATATGTCTAGTCAATATCAATTGATATTTTTTGAGAAAGCTGAGTGTAAAGTGTATACTTTGTTTACAGTTTTAACTTAATTCTATGTGCAATTAAAATTACTTGAACAAATTTATCTTTTGATATCTTTGATAAAGCTGAGTTTAGAAATGTATATCTTATGAATAATCTACAATTTTTTAACTTTTATTTTATATACACAGATTACTTAAATAAATTTACTTTTAATTTGTTATATATTGAAACAAACCACTTGCAAAAAAAAAATTCTTATGTTACAAGATTAAAATGCAACGGCAGATTTATTAACAATGGGGAAAACTAGTAATTTCTAAATTATGTTTTTTATTGAGATATAAATGTAGATTTAAAAATCTGTTTAGTAAGGTCTGAAGTAAAAGTATACTGTGTATGTAACATTAGTAATTGTATAGTAATTGATATTAAATGTGCTCAGTGTTATTTAAACACCTTTCAAGGTTGTCTGAACTAGTTAATATTTTATTATAAAATGTGTTAATGTTATTAACTTATATTAAAGCTAATTTTGTACCTAGTATCAGTACATCTGTAGGAGCACCAAAAAACAATAATGATAGCTTAAATTAGATAGGTAGATAGAGAGACAGACAGATAGAGATAGATAGACAGACAAACATACAATTTTAGCTTATTTTTACTAATCCTCAACACTACCACAAAAAGCTCTATAGATATGTTTTGTCATTTATATGTATGACCATTTTTGTTAGACCATTCCAATAAAGCAAGACCATCATAGCAAATTAAGAAAAATTCCTAAACAATAAGCATTTGTTATAAAAATGTGATGAAATTGTGCACTTTTTACAAAAGATATTCCACTATTTATTGAAAATATTTACTCTTTAGAAATTAAAATGTACACCTTCATTCATATTTATAATGATTTATTTTCTACAACTACAATGTAATTGAATTTGTAATGTAATAATAATTCCTAATTGTTAGTAGCATTGTTTTTGTGAAAAAAAGTCACAGGAAAAAAAAACACAGGAAAAAAAAACACAGAAAAAAAGTCACAGGAAAAAAAGTCACAGGAAAAAAAGTCACAGGAAAAAAAGTCACAAATATATATTTGCATGATATTTGTTAATACTTTTATGTATTAAATATTTAGAGAGTGCAAATTAACTTAGGATTAATTAAATGTAATGTGTGTAGGCTGTATACGCATAGGAATTTTTATAATTCATCTAAAAATATTTATTATGAAGTATGTAGATTGTAATTATGTTAGACTTAAGATTAGTAGCATTTAATAGAATGCTCCAAAGTCCACGGTTTTCATCGTGTTTTTTTTTTTAAATACCAATATTAAATTACCGTGAAATGGTAAGTTCATCTGACTTGCTGCCCTCAACTAATGGCAACAATAATTATGTATTATGTTTAGTTCAACCACCTTTACTGCCCACATTTATCACGCTCATTACATGACAAAACTTAGGATCAAAACAGAAAGCCGACAAGGTTCAAAGGCGGTCATTGACGCGTAACGTCAACAACACAAAATATGTTCGGACAATGCCTACTGAGGAGAGGCCGACCAGAGAATAGCCTACGGCAAAATTTGCCTAAATTTCTTTTATAATTAACTTTTCTACCGCGTATTTAACTAAATACGTAACAAGTTGAGATTGTTGTGTAAATTATCTTAGAGTATTTTTACTTACAATTGTTATAAATCATAATGCTTTTAACGTCTATAAATAATTTATGCTATAAAAAAATACAACCCACAATAATAAACATACAAAATTTTACAATTCTTAACAAATTAATAAAAATATTTCTAAAAAGATTTTTGTGACTTTTTTTCTGTGACTTTATTTCTGTGACTTTTTTTCCGATAAAATTTTTCCACTGTGACTTTTTTTCTGTGACTTTTTTTCCTAGCAAAAACTGTGACTTTTTTTCTGTGTTTTTTTTTCCTGTGACTTTTTTTCCGTTTACCGTTTTTGTAATGTTGACCTTAAATAATATAATTTGCTCAGTCAGTATTAAAATAAAATGTTCTGATCAAAGGAAATATACTTAATAGATCTTTTTGTTTTCAAGGAGTTTTGTTTCCCTGGATTGGCTGCTTAAGAAAGGACATGTCATTACTTTTTCTTTTTTCTTTTTTTTGCACCTTATTTAATTTTAGGCTATTATCAAATACTCATTTCTGAGTCTAATGGTAAGCCGTACTTAATTTCTTTTCCTATTTGATATTACTGGAATTACTTGGATATTAAATGGTGAAACATTTTAACTTCATTATAGTTTATTTAATTATTGGAAAATGTGTTAGTTCTATGTACTAATTGATAAAATGTTTTAAAATTGAAAAAAAGGTTGTTTTATTTTTAAAAAATGTGTTTGCAGTATATTTTAACAAATGTTAATTAGGTAGCAATCTTTGGAAGGATAATAAACTGTACTTGTCCAATTAGCTGTTTGTTGTGCCTTTAATAACTAGACAATTGTGACAAACTTGTTGATTTATTTTATGTAGACGTAACCACTATTTTTACAGCACACATGGGTGCTTGCCTGTTTTGTTTTTATTTATCTCACTACAAAAAAGTGTGATTGAATGTTGTAGTTAAAACAATAGGGCTGGTAAGTAGGTCACCAACCAGTTCTATAGCTCATGCAGGTTTTATTGAGCCATAGAACTGGTTGGTGACCTACTTACCAGCCCTTGTGTGGTGTTAAAATTTTTTATTTTAACAGTACAATCTGCTTCTGCTGTGCCTTTAATTTAACTAGAGAATTTATAGACTACTTAAATCATTTTATATGTGAACTATTATTAGAATTTTATTTATACAAAATTTAGGTCATTTTTTTTTTAAAGATTAAATTAGACTTAACATTGTTTAGAGCTTTATTTTACAAAATTGTGTCCTTTTGTCAGATTAAATCATACAGTCAATTGCAGACTTTATGCTTTTTCATTTAAGACTTGATAGACTGTTTAAAAATTATTTTTTTAGTGAGAATGTTTGTTTGCATTGTGGCATTGACCAGTTTGGTTTGGTCTGAAAATAAAAATTTTGGTCTGGAAGTGGTGCAGCATGGTGCAAGAGGGGAGCAGATCTGCATCAACAGGAACAATGACATGCCTGAAAAAAAAATTTCTGAAAAAATAAAGGGCCTTGGAATGAGGGGGGGGGGGGGCTGAAAATTTTTCAGATTTGAAGTTATTTTTATCTACACTTTAAACAGACAGAAGTAAAAGTAATAGAATAGACTTTACTACCATATCATTAGAAGTTTTACATAATTGACACTTAAGACTGCACTTCAGTCCTCCCCCATTCACAGAACTGCCGTTAAAGAATTTTTTTTCTAAATTACTAGCTTAGATTTAGTCTGGGTTAGGGTTCTTGCCATATTTATTACAATATACAGTCTTTAAAATGCACAATAACTGATATAAATTCAGTTTTAAAAATTACTTTATACAATGCTCAAGCGTGATATAACCCTTTCTGACCCCCTTACCCCCCTCTCTCTTTTCACCTTTCATCCACCTCTAGAAAAAAAGACATGCTAGAATTAATATAGCCTGCTGAGCTTTCATGGCAAAGCTCTGCCATCTCCAACACTACAGAAATTAGGATTCTAAATTTAAATGTCCAGGTGGTTTTGTTATATGGAGCAGAGAAATAGTGAGGGAACCAAGATCTGCATAGACAAGATACAGACCTTTAACAAATGTCTCAGATTCTACATTTGAGGTGGTAGGACAAAGTGCCTAGTATAGACCTATATAGAAAGACAAGGCAGGAGGCCATTACAGTACAATTAAGGAGAAAGTGGCGCTGGGTGGGACACACAGTGAAAGGCTCACTGTGACTAATGTGAAAGCCAGGCACTTTATAAATTTCGTTCGGGGGGGGGGGGGGGTTCCCCTCCGAAGAGATGCCTGGAAGAAACCCTGCAGGGGATTGTGGAGGAGAGGGCACACAAGACAGACCTGAAGACAGGATCATTTTGAAGAACTGAAGAATGTCTTGGGAGGCTGAAAATCAAAAGTATAGTCATGTATGAATGACCCATTGCCCTCATACAAATACAATACACAGAATACTTATTTCCACCCAAGGGAGCTTACCAGAAATCGACACAAAGAATGCTAATTTGAAGAGTTATTCCCCATCTGATTATGCCGCTAGTGTTATCTTCCGGTTAAAACTGCTTATTGTTGTGTTTCAAGATTGAATAGTGTTGTTGACGGTTTACGCCCATAAATCAGTGACTGTTCGCCCATACTTTTGATAAGTGTAAGTTCAATTTTAAAATTCCGCTCGACAAATAGTCTACAATGTAGATCTAAATTCGTTTCTGAAGTTTAAAACAAAACCCGAGATCTGTGAAGAATTTAATCAATTTATCGACTCGCTGGTTGACTCGGTCTTCGGATGACGAGCACACACCACCAGTTGAGTGCGCCGAGTCACGGTTTATTAAGTTTAATCGTCATCGTCGTGTCGTCTACCAATAAATGTTTTTAGTTTTTACTATTTTGATGTATTCTAGATCTACATGGGTTATTTTCACCACCATTGTCTATTAAATTATAAACACTCATGGAAAACGGACCATAACCAACCTCTTGACATCAATAACATTGATTGATAACATTTTTAAACAAAAACAAGTAAACTTCAACTTAGTAAACGAGCACCTGTTGAGTGTTGGTTCACAGTTCACATTAGTTAGTAGATCTAGAATCTAGAGATCAGTATTATATGTACTAGATCTCTAGATCTATATGATGAATATGATTGTTAGTTGAGATATTGATAGATCAATTTTAGATCTAATCTAAATCTTGTAATCTAGGATCTAGAACTAGCAAAAATTCCTCAAGTAACGAGTCAAGTAGTACTTACTAGTACTTAGGTAGGTCCCCTAATTAAAAAAAGGCACTTTTAATTAATCTAGCTAATTAATAATTATCCCTATGGTCATCCCCAGTGTTTATTCCAGACTTTGTTCTCCGGGAGAGGGGGGACAACACTTGAAATTTTCGGAGGTCGGACACTGTTATAAATATATAATTTCAATATAATAGTATATAAATTCCACTTCGTTCACTGATTCAGGGGGCGATAGGCATATATAGTGCCCTATCACACTTTATTCTTCTTCTTCATTCTTAATTAAGTATTTGAAGTAAACTGATATAGGCCTAATGATAATATTATTAACGAGCCGACCCGCGGCTTATAATACACCGCTATTTAGTTGTTGTTTTTTCTACTTTTCAGTAATTCATAATTTGTGAATTCGACAGTACCAACGCTGCCACTGAAAATATTTCTATAAAACACTATAAGTAACTCGTTAAGGACGATAACCCCTCCTTCCCCCCCCCCCCCCTCCGTTAAAGTAAACTCCACTTAGTTACCCCCCCCCCCCCCCCTTCTACGTTTAAAATCGTTTCAAACTAAATTTTCTGCCCCTAATAGTCGTCACTTAACCCAGCTTGTGTAGCGTGAACCACAGCTCACCAGACAATGTAGGGGTGGGGGTGGTAGGGAGCTCGCTTACGTTACAGCTTGTTTTCTAGCGTCACCCAGAAGAGAATTATATATATAGATAATATACTTTTGGGTACTAGGCCTAATCTTCTAATTTAGCTAACAACTTATTTGCTATAGTATATGGTTATAAGCTATAGGATAAAAAAATTTTGAGTCCAGTAATTCTAGCTACATGTCTGTTATATAATATTCAAACCATCTCACTCTCACTGAAAAGTAATATATTAATGCACACCAAAATTTACAAACTTGATAACAGATAATAATGTTTTTAGTTGATGAATTACAAAAGTAATTATAATGTCAAACCTTACCCTTACAACTTTAAAGAGCATTCACTCTTGAACAATACATAGAAAATTTTCCTCATATCTATGTCTGGAATTCTTTTTACATCCTTAGTCAGCTCTCAGATGTGAAAACAACTAAACACCAACTTAGTTCATTAATATGGCTAATTCAAGTAATTGGTTGATTGCTTGTCCATAATCCTGTTATCTCCCTTTTTATCATTATTAAATATAACTAAATTAATTTTAACGTTACTTACTAAGTAATCTTTAAATTAATTTTTGATGTTTAATTAAATATCTAATTAGATAAAAATTGGATATTTGTGCATTTTTATTGGAGTTTAATTCATGTGGAAAGCTTGAAAAAAAAACAACCTTAAAATAGTCTTTAACAGTGTGGGTTCATCTTATCGACTTTGATTTCATTTACATCTCATGTTACTATTGTTTGCCTATTTAATTCTATGAGTATATTCCTCTTCTTTTTTTTATCAATTTTATCATGCACTGATAATGGCATTCTAGATTCCATTTTCTCGCTATGTTAAGCAGACTCCTTTTAGGATATCTTGAAATCAATCTCCACTTCCAGTTTCTTGTCTCACATGAATTATTTTACTTCTTTTTACTGTATGTTGTTGTACCATGAAAATAAGACTACTACTACTGGAATAGATCTGTAGCATTTGCTGTTCTCTTGTTTGTGTGGCTATCAATACTATCATTTTATTTTAACTGATTTTGTATAAAACTGAGTCTGTTATTATTGTGTTAATTTTATTAGATACTGAATGAGTATTACCAGTACATTAACCAAAATTGTCTTTGTTTTAAGTTGTTTGCTCATCTATGGAAATATTATCATGTACAGATTGTTGTATCATCTTTTAGTGCACAAAAATATAAATAGAATTCTGAAACACATATTTATTTTTCAGATCCAAAATGGAACAAACAACTTATGAGCAGACAACTGAGAAAAGGACAGGTGATTCGGCGATACGACCGCACCCTGAGTATGTTAGAACAGTGCCAGGTATTCTAAAGATAGCTGAGATAGTAAGTACTTTTTAATAAATCATTTAGAGTGAAGTTAAATACATTTAAAATTTAAATTGACTTTATTTTTTCTGTAAAGAAATTTTAAAATATAAAAAAATACACACCCACTCTTACTATTTAGTGAATTTTTGAAAACTATACCCTATTATACTTTTTAATACTGTCCTTTAACTTAAATAAATTTAATCTGTAAGTGTAAGACTATTGTTTTTGAGGTAAATGAGAGAAAAAAGTACCCAATATTTAGATAATGGTAGTTTATTTTTTCGCCAGGTTGTGAATATTCTCGTGCTGATTTGTGCGTCAATTGATTACTGGTCACCAGCAGGTGGTGGCTGGGTGCAGTTTGTAGCAGTCACAGCCCTCATTACTACATTGATCAACTTTCTTATGCATTTCTTTGATGTGTATAGCAAATTTAGCTTCCAGTTCAATTTTGTGGTACAAAAAATTATAATCTTCTGAATTAATTTTAAAATTTTAGACAGTGCCCATAATAATAATAACGAATATTTAAAATGTAAAAAATGAATAAGAATAACATGTTAAATTACGTTTATGATTTTTATTAAAAAAATCTTTATCTACAGCTGTTCATCTACTACTGTGTAATCGTGGTCTTGTATTTAATTGCTGCCATCGTTTGCGCAGTCAGGGCACCCTATTGGCCAGCAGTTGGAGCTGCTGCTGTAAGTTTCATGTTTTTCTTCTCATGCCAGCTTAGGTTATAATTTTGTATACGTTAAAAACTGGGGAGATTAAAGATTATGTTCTGTAAGATTTAAATTTAAATGATATAACCGTTAACATTTTTAAAATTTTAATATGATCTTGTATACATTTTTGTTGTTCCAATGTGTTCTTTGTCAATGTGGATGTTACACACTGATCCTAGTTATTTTTAGTTTAATAGTATGTACAAGTTACTTACAGTAAACTTACACTCATTTGAAATGTGTGCGCACTATCTTATTTTCATTCCCGTTTTATTTTCTTCTTTACTTTACATTAATAATTTTATTTTTAAAAACTTTGTACAAAGTATCCATATGTTATGCAATACTGGATATTTTCCATTTCTTCCAGTTTTTTGCCTTTGTGGCTGTAATCCTGTATGCTGTTGACACCTACCTGATGTACAGAATGTGGCAAGGGGGTGTCCATCACACAACTGCCGCTACCGCCACCACAACTACCACCACTACTTCATACGAGACCAGAACGCAGTACTAACAACTGGACTACTGAGAGTGTGAACTTTGACATTGGTGGATGTGCTCTGTAGGTTTTCTAAAAATATTTCTCATCCTAACACATCATCTACATCTTTCTATTGTATAACATAACTTCACAGAGCTTTTTAAATATAATTAAACATTATTTAAAAAAAAAACATATTTACACTTAATTGTAATAAAAAATATTTCCTAAGCTTTCAAAACTAAGCTATTTTTGCTAAATTTATGTTATTATAATTTTAAAGCTATATTATTTGTGGGAAGGTCTACCTAGTGCTGCCTTGATCTGAAGGGTCTTTTTATTTTAATATTAACTTTTATATTAGCCGCTGTAAAAAAAGAAAAGCAATGGATTAACCAAATTTGTAGATTAGTATTGTGTATATATGGTATGTGGGCAGCATGGAGACTTTTGTGGCTCATTGTTAAATATTGTATGTTCAGCAACTGTGTTCATTGTTAGTTTTTGAAGTATGCACCACTTTAAGAAAATAACTAGGAGAGTGGAAAGAAGAAAGCTTGCTTCTATTTCTATATTATTAGGCAATATAAACCTTATTTCTAATAGTAATATTAGCGATGTGTGGGAGAATTCTATGAGAAAATTCATCTTAGCAGTGTTGTGTTAAAGTTGTGAGATGTACACTGTTTTCATGCTGTTAGCATCTAGTTTTATTCTTTGAAGTGGTTACTCTGACCTTTTTTTTTTTTGTTTTGCTTCTTTTTCTCTCTAAAACATTCTCATTTTACATATTTAAATAATAATTTTATTTTTATTTAAATGAATCTCATCAAAACACACTTATAAATCAAATAAATTTGTAGACTGCTAAACAGCTTGTGTCCAGATAACGAATCCATCAATATTTAAGATTAATTTTCAATGCTCTGTACCATGTCTATACCATGTTTTTTTTTTTTTTTACCTCACTCATACTTTCAATTTCATTTCCATCTTGTTCCATTATAATTAAAACTTTACACAATATCCAAATATAAATAGCTTACCATGAAATACTAGTCATACAAAGTTTGAATGAACCATGGTGCTTTTGTGTGTGAACATATTTTAAATTATATATATTTAACCTTATTTTTCTCTCCACGGTGTTGAATAACCATCATGTATTACTCATTCTCAAGCTGTGTTCCAATATAATTTAACTAAATAAGAATGCACCTGAATAAAGTCCCTATATAACTGCTGTATTGGTGTGAGAAGTTAACATAGAATTTATATCTTTGCATGGTTATGCTGAGAGTATATCGAACTAGTAATTTGTAATCAACATTTTTACTTTCAATTTTGTTTGTATTATATTATAATTTTATAAGTAACATCTTATTTGAACAAATTCACTCTTTTTTTTGTGTCATTCATAAGATTAGATTTACATTGGTTTAGTGTAAGCCTTTCTTGTTTGATTGCTGGCAAGTTTTTAATTTCTTGTATTGTGTATCAATGTTAATTCAAAATCTGATTGTGATAATCACCTTAGGTTTGTATTTCCTACATATCATTTCATTTAGAAACTTTGTTTTGCTTATTTTAGCTTCATTGTTTTCCATTTTTGTTGAAGGACAGAATTTTCTTACATTACCTCAGATTAATCCCAGTAATATAACAAATTTATTTTTCTAAGATCCAAATTATTGCTATCTGTTCTGAACAAGTATTTTTTTTAAATATGTTTTTTTTTTCAAATAAATGCCAGTACACTATATTTAAATAACAATACCTTGTTGACATTTTTGATGGAAAGGATTGTCTTTTATAGTGATTCTAGATCTAGATTAAAAATAATAAACTAATTGCTCTCTGGATTCTCTCATGTTCTTTTGTGTTTTATATAGTCAGGTTATTGGAATGTTTTTCCTCAAGTTATTGTGTTATTATTGTTTATTTGAAATCCTGTACAGACTCACAGATAAAACAGAGACTGAAATTTTACCTGGTACATGTTTAGAGAAATATAAGAACCGTAAAAAAAAATTTGGATTTATCTGCATGCAAAATCGTTTAGCAAATCTCTTTGTTTAAAACTTGGATTGTTTTGCTGTTGTTAGCATGGATACTGTTAGTTAGGACTGTAGGCTGTAGAATTATTGAATGTGTTAGCTGTGTTTTTCTGCTGACTGCAAAAGTAGACAATATTCACTAGTGACGACTTCATTGACCTGTTACACACTCACCTAACCTAAACACACCTTTGATATCAGTGTGTAATGTAGGTAGATTTGGTTCAGAATTGAAATTCTATGAAAGTAGTTGCTTTTTTTTGTTAGCTTCATAAGAAGTTCATGAATAAGCATTTTCTAAGATTAATGAAAACTCAATTGTTAACAATACAACATTTTGTTTGCAGGATGAGTGCTGAATTATTAGCAGAATAGCATTTTGTGTTTTTCCCCTCGTATTACTACACTAAGTAAATGTTTCTAGAACCACTGGTGAAGTTAGTTGCTTAACTTGGTCATACCAGACTTAATGTATTATTCTATTACTTTTCACTATAAACCTACATAAAGGATAAATAATTGTTTTTTTTTTCAAATCACTTACTACAAACAGCCTGATGCTTAACTTAAACTTAAAAGATTTCTCTGTCATTCCTCATGCCACTTTATCACATCTTTACACCGTATATTTTTTTATACTGCAATAGTCCTATATATTAATTGAATTTTTTATTTTGTAGCTGTGATTTATTTAAATTTGTATCACTCTATAAATGCGTGGGTTTGATCTAAGGAAATTTTTGTTTGTTTGCCAATTCTCCCATCTTGAATCAGTCATCAGCTACAGTGCCAGATTAACCAATAGACAAAGTACAGACTGTCTGTGATGGTCCTTTTAAAGTGGCGTCCAGCAATTTGTTATTATATTGCAACAACATAATTAGTTTTGGTTAAAAAGATTATTTCTGAAGATTGTGACTTCCTTTTATAGATAATTTAGAAGTAAATTAAAAATACTTTTTTGTAACCTGTTCAAATCAAATTATTTTTAAACCTGTAAAAACATGGTTTTGATTAGGATGGACTATGAGTTAAAATATAGTTTACCATTTAGTTTTATATCTAAGTTTTTAACAATTAGGTAACTGTAATATTCGTTTATAAATGTATAATACCTTAGACACTTTTTGTTGCTAATGGAACTAGAAGTAACATAAATGTGCCTGATAATTAAGAAACATATTTTTGATAAGTGTATTATTTATTAATATACAATATAATCCTTGTCAGTAGTTAATCTTCCCTTAGCTGAGACTGTTTTAGTCATATATGCTTATGATTTTATCTGTGAGCTATTTAGAATTTTTTTTTAATTGTATAATAAAGGCTTTGGTGTAAGCTAGTTTGTTGAGTTTGTGAGTGATAGAAGTTTCTTTCTTTGTTATTGCTTACATTATGCTTTTGTAGTGAGTCCTCCTTTACTTTTTCCTCAAAGAGGGGGAGGAACCCTCCTATGATTAATGTCTTAATGTTTTATTTATAACTTTAGGGATTAGGGTTTTAAAAATGAGAGCGGGTGGCTTTTAAAATTATGGCACTGATTTCTTCCCCCCCCCCCCCCCAATCAATAGAAAATCCTGCTAGCTTTAACGAGTACCAGAGTGTGCTACTTCGAAACACGTTGCTATAAATAAACACTGTCGCCCACCTGCACCCCACATCAAAGATGACACATCTGCGGCGTAGGCCTGAGTGATACAGTACGAGATTTGCGAACCCTCCTCTCTCGTGAGTTTATGGAACTCGGCGATAAATAATAATAAAAGTATTTAGCGAGAAAGCTATTTTTAAATGTTAGGCTTGAGAATGCCGTCTTAATCTGGTACAAAAAGCCATGAATACACAAGTACCCTCGCCTTAAATTGTATGAATCTCATTAACCGATAAAAGTTGAATGACACTACCCCTTCCTGCTCCCCATTAAATAAAACATTTCTTGAGAATGCGGTATGCCAGGCAGAACAGAATGTGTTCTCACGGCTTTATAGAGAGGTGTCAGTGTTTTGACTTGCCAAGTTGTCTGTGCTGTGCCAAATTCCTGGGTAAAGTTTAGAAGAAAAAAATCATAGTTAGCTTCAAGTAAACAACACTCTTTTAAGTTTTTTCCCTCGTGAAACTGAAATAAATAAATCGAAAGTGATCTTCCCTAAACTGTCTTGAACATTCTTGGATAATACTAACGAGATTGCTCAAAATTTGTCAGAAAACAGATAATTAGATATTCTACAGATATGTGAAATTTCTTCCACTTCTTTTTACCGGAAATCGATGAAAAGTTATACATAACTACAAATTTGGTTTAAAACTTATGTGAAATTACGTCAACCTAGCTATAACGGTAATCAAGTTCATAGACACACTGACTAAATTGTAGAATTAAGTTTTTCCAGCTTAGGGATGTGTAAAATGTCAGTTTCGATTTGTTGCACGATTACAATACTCCGTATGCGAGAAAGTAAAAAAAATTCAGTAATTAAATAAAGATATCGATAAAATACATGTCGATAGGTATTTCTTGTTGAGTGGTAAAGTAAACGGAAACACCAATATTGCCAAGCATACAATAACACGCAAAAAAATAATAATTAAAAAGTGGGAAAGCAGGTTTTGATTGTTCAAACTAAAAATAGCCACCAGAAAAATAAAATCACAAGAAAAACAATCCACGAGAAAAGAAAACAGAAGTAACTATGACTCTTACTTGCTAGACGGGTTTACCTCCTACCCCATCCGTCTGAATTGTTTTTAAAAACATACCTGACTTAATACATTTTACAACGTTTTTTACCAGACGTTTAATAAAACTGTATGGCTACATAAAAATATTCTTAAATGTTTTTATTTATATGATGTGACGATAAAAACAAAGGAAACGCTGACATTTTTGTGGCACAGTTATGAATGGGCAGTGTAGTTTATTAATAAAGGAGTCGAGCATATCCTCTTACACCCCCCCCCCCTACCCGCTCGCACATGCTACATCTATAATAGCCTCAGCTTTTGTCCTCCCCACCACGTGCATTGTTTATGATGAATCCCACAATCAATACAAGCGTGTTAAATCTTCTTCAGCTGAGGTGTGCTTAACAGGCTTTCTACTGAATATATATATATATATATATATATATATATATATATATATATATATATATATATATATATATATATATATATATATATATATTGAGCGTCTGCTTAATGGTGAAATAGCATCAACCACATCCATTTAATCATTATTTTTGTCTAAGACTGTCATTTTCATTTTCTTTGTAAACAGCGACGTGTACAGGATTTTATTATGGGAAGAGGGGATTAAATTTCACACCTGTAAGGATATAAAATTGTGTTTTTTTATGATATGAAATGGTTAGAACTTGATTCTGCTGGCTGCACAGTAGAGAAACTACTGAGAGACGGACTTTCTTGGGGAAATGCAAAAAGTAAAGTTGCCAGAGACCGGCAGAAGGGCAGAAGTGGAAAGAAGTTTATGTGACGGTTCCATGTATCCTAGGCATAAGATGACGATGAGTAGCTTACTTGAAGCGACACCAACACTGCTCACCGTCGTCAATAGTTATAACGATCTGATTGGGGAGGTGAGATCTAACCCCCCCCCCACACACACACACACAAGTCTACACTAAAGGATAAGCTAAGCCTACTTCCTTGTAAAATACAAGCAATATAAACTGATTGATTTCTAAATGTGGAGACGGCGTGGTCGGGAAGGAGCGCGCAATCAGAGTTTCCTCCAGGCATCTCTTCGGGGGGGGGGGGGGGGCACCTCGAACGAAATTTATATAGAAAATATATACTTTTAACAGTGACCGCCCCCCCCCCCCCCCCCGGAGAAAAAAAGTCTGGAAGAAACACTGTGCGCAATAATTGCTTAAACCAAAACTCCGGGGTTCGGAACCCGGGCAGATGAGGCTCATTAGCTGAGGATACATCATATGGCAACCCATCTAGGGGAGAAAACTCCAAAATAAAACTACCGATGCCTTGCACATTGCTCTAGCATCGACAATAGCTATTGAACTTTATCCAGAAAGAGAAGCAGGCTGAAGTTGGAGTCAACGGGCAAATATCATGTTGACACGTAATGCAAAATTGTTTTGGAGGAAATCCCCTCCAATATCACGAAGTAGATTTCAAGCCGTGTAATTTCTATTTTTTTTTTGGTGATCTATTTATACACAAAGATCATGTGTGAATCATTTTTCTTTAACTGGTGCCCAAGAACAGATTTTAATTACATTGTTTTTGGTTTTTTTCACGAAAGATAACGTAAAAAAAACAGAATGGGCTTCATTTACAGCAACAATGTAATACACGAAGAAAAAAAACAACAACGTATCAAAGTTGTCAAAGCTAGATTTTAATTTACAGCGTATGTATAAGTCACACACTGTGTATTACATCATCAACACTGCTGACTACCGGCACAACACATAATAACACTTCCTCCCCCCCCCCCACCCATCCGCACGCACACTCCTTTATATTAAACTAATGGTACGCAGACTTAATTCAATTAGAGCAAGCAGTTAGAAGCTACACAGAAAATTTAAAAACCAAAATTGTGTATTCTACACGTGTGAAAGTCTAATTGTGTATTCAAGCAGTCGGCATGTGTTACTTGTACAGCCTTCATCGTGAGTTCATACACTCGTGCTTGCACATTCACACCGCCAACCCGCCCCACATGTTGCCGAGTACTAAAAATAGAAATTATTCTTTTTTTTTAAATGCCATTGTGAAGCACACTTGCCTTACGTAATCTTAGATGAACGGTCGGTTCACCCAATGTATGAAACTTCTAGCTAATGTTTCTTCTAGCAGTTTAAAAACATAGTTAATTCAAGCATATAAGGTACCTGTGGGTTTTGTGTACGCGTTGTTGTACGTAAGCTATATAATTAGAGAATACTCCAATAGGCAAGGGCAAAGGGACGCTATCAGTGTGTTACCAAGGGACGTTAGTTATAGATTTAAATTTAAATTAAAAGACTGTTTTGCTTTACGATACTCTCCTAATGCGTAAAATAATGTAGAATGCCCTCTAAAACACGTGTTACACAATACTTCAACAAAGATGTAGGCAGCCTGACTGGTTAATAAAATCTTTTTTTTTTTTTGCGTACCAATAAATCGTTTTAAAATGAAAGCTACCGAGTATAAGAACAAAAATGAGATAAAACTTGGCTTGATAGTAAGGAGTGAATCCGGCCAGGACGTGCGGGGGGGTAGGGGCCGTCCTTAATTGACAACACACTCACTTGAAACGATGTGCTACATATTGAATTTTAAGGAGGAGGGGGTGGGGGAGCCTATATTCATGCTTAGATAAATATGGTTTAAGCATTATGCATAGATGTTTTAAAAATCTCAACGCCCCTCCACCACCCACTCCCGGTAAAACACTCCTGTGATTAGAAAATACAAACATTCAAACATATAATCAAGCCGGATGCAGTTTTCTGCTAAAGATAATTACTTTGGCATGCGGCAATCATGCGTTGGCCTCGCTTTACGTAAATGTGTTAAATATGTGAGGCCTGCCGATTTCAAAGCTCACGAGATAGACAGCCGACGTTTATTCAGTATTGGGAGGCAGGGGCGTCACAAGGTGGGTGTAGGGGGGGGGGGGGGCAGTCCGCACCGTAAGACAGCAAACAGGGGGGGGGGGGGGAGTGACACAATTGTAAAATGTACTGTCAAAAATGTTTTAAACAGTTAAATTAAAAAAAATATAGTAAGGGGAAAGGGGTGACACCAAACTTAAAATGCAAATTTATTGGGGGGGGGGGTGTTGTGACACGCTCAGTTACCTCACCAGGTGACACACGACCTAGTGACGCCACGGCTGGTATGAAGTAAACATGACAGAAACAATTGTTAGCAAAGTTTAGAATGGGGCGCAACATTTACAACTTTTTTGTCTACCTTATCCACTGATAAATAGGGGGTGCTTCATCGGGGGCGCTCAAGTTCAATAAATTCAATCACCACATCGGGTGACACCCACGCCAAAGCTAAAGTTTAGGAGTTCAAACTTTAATATCTCATACTTTAACAAGATATACTATTGTGATGTTCAAGGGGTGAGGATCTCTATTAACCCCACTTATAATCCACTTAACATAATTGCCCGTGACGCCCACTAATTTTTATGCATACATAACTGGGCACACAATTTAAGAACAAAGTGATGGTGCTCAATTGCGTGAGTAAGGAAAGGGGTGTTTTATCGGTGAGAGATTATAGGATACTTGCACCACGCCATAGAAATCCTTGACTAGAGAGTTATTTGTGTAGGTCTACTTGTCCAGTGGTTGTATTTTTTAAAGCGTCATTGGGTACATAGATTGTTGTAGCACACGATGAGTAACTGACCCTTATCCCAGTGGCGTCACTAGCAGTGTTTCTTCCCAATTTTTTTTCTCCGGGGGGGGGGGGGGGGGCCACTTGGAATTTTCGGGAGGGGGGGGGGGGCGGTAGACTTTCTTCGGGGGGGGGGGGCGGACACTGTTAAAAGTATATATTTTCTATATAAATTATATAAATTTCATTTCGTTCGGGGGAGGGGGCGGTAAAAAATTTTTCTGGGGGGCTTTGCCCCCCCCCCCCCCGAAGAGATGCCTGGAAGAAACTCTGGTCACTAGATTGTGAGTCGCCAGGTGCGGTAACTGAGGATGTCACCCCCACCACTCCAACAATTTTCAGTAGGTGTCACCCCTATTCCCTTAATATTTTATCATTTTTACACGACCTGACATTGTTTTTAAACAGTACATTTTTGTAGGAATTTTCATCATAGTGTCACACGGTGCGGATCGCACCCACGTCCATAAACGATTTTACATTATTTTAGCCTAGAACTTACTGAAAAAATATTAGCTCGATAGGATTCTATATAAGGTTATTCTCTTCTCATTAACATAACAGGTACATAGTCATTTCTGGACGATGCAGTAAAAAACTAGCATGTATTACTTGTGTGCACCCCAACAGTAGAAAGTCAGGTTAGCGACTCTGGCTTTTATGACTTTGCATAGAGTTAAAAAAAAAATAATTAATTATCTACTACAGAACCGTTTGTGTTGCCTCGCTCACGTAGCGTGTTACTGCCTTACACACTACACGCTCATGCACTGGTGGTAATAATATCTCTTTCTAGCTGGGGCGTAGCCTCGTTCTCATGTGTGTTCTGGTTGGTTTCCTACACCTGTTGACCCACTTCTCCGCTCGTTGAGTAATAGTAATGCGGCACGTTAGCCTATATTATTATTATTTTTAAACCGTGATCGTTTGCAACAGTTAATTTTTCTAGGCCTGCGTCATGTATTTGCGATGTATTAATGTAGTGTGTATACCTTAGTGAGAGAATAGTTGAAAGAATACTTGTAGTTACATCTGAGCCTGCTACGTGGGGTTGGGGATACGCGGTTCAAAGAATGCACTCAGCACTGTGTACTAGATAGTGCACTACTTAAGCTTTAAATTAATTAACATATTATTATTGACATAAATATAACTGCTAGTAAATACTATGTATATTAAGAAACCTATAAAAATATATACATTACAAGCTAATCTAATTACTAATATATACATCTAGACCTAGGTTACTCTTTTAAGGGGTAAAATGTATTAAGAGTAAAAATAACGTTATAAGGGAGGTAATCCGATTAATTTTTTTTTGTTCTGAGCTCAGATTAACCCTAATTTTCTAACCACTTGTTTTCCATTCATGCAACCACCAATCATTCAAATAAACACAGAGACAGAGTGCACCATGCATTAAAACCAAGTTTTTATTCTGTTCAACACTTTTCAGCACTCGCAGTTAAAAAAAAAAAAAAAACTAAGAAAAAAATTGATCCCCAAGTACTTGTGATGTTAAAAATTGAGGAAGGAGGAGCATTGTATTACTCAGGCAGATCTAATATATAAAAAAACTGTTTCAACTAGCTAGATCTCACTTTATAAAAGTTTACAGTTGACAGTTGGGTAGTAACTAACTTAAAAAGAAAATTTAACTGACCAATTTAGGGTTTAACAATAAATCAAAAGCCATGTGATTAAATAAAAAAAATGGAACAAATTCAATCTATTGTGTGTTACATGATATAATGCAAATAATAATAGATAATATGATACATACTAAAAAAGGTATTAGTTATCTAGCAAAGAGTGTTCCCATGAGGCTAAAAGTTTAATAGTGTGCAACTACTAAGAAAACTAAACATAACAAATAACATCTTGGATTAAAGGCACATGGTATATTGTAATACAGAATTCAACATCGGCATCACACACAGGAAACAGTAATACAAAAACGCATACAGAAATTCTAGTAACAAGACATACTTAAAACACAAACATAGATCTTGCCTGCATGGTAACAGTGGACAAACACTTTTGAACATTAATTAAGACAGGCAAGAGAAAAAAAAACAACAAATGAATACGCCAACCTTAAACAAGCTAAACACTGACAATTTTTCAACCCTAGCTATAAAAGCAAACAGCACTAACATTATTACCATATTATATTGACAACTAAAAACAGGAACACAGATTTTAACCCTATTAAGACACACACAAAATTATAATCCTTTAGGACTAACAGAAATGCATCTTTACAAAGTAGATTTAAAACAAAAAATTTAACATTAATAAATGACAGGCTAAAACAGACTTATTTGATAGAATTTTAAAGTATATTAGTATACTTATAAATGAACAAGAGACCAAATTTACATTACAAAAGTTATTGTTATCAGAAGCTTATGGTAGACACACCCAGTGCAACAGGATTTCAAGTACTCTTGATTTACAATTCTGATGGTTAGAGATGTACAAAGATATTCCTAACCAAACCATAAATATTTTTTTAAAAATGCAATTTACTGGAATAACTACTACTTGGATCAATTTTTTAAAATGCAGACAAATAAAGCAATGGCCTAGAATTTAAAAAAAATAACTAGAGTAGGTCTCTCTTTTGATGCTTAGTAAAACAAATACAACCAAACCAATTATAGACAAAATACCAAGAATAGAGAAACTATAGAATGAAAGTCAAAACAGAAGAGAAAAAAATGTGTTGAACTTCCTTACAAAAAAGGACAATACTTTTTGTATTAGTTTTAGCTAAAAAAGACTGGTTGAAAAATAAGTTTGTAAAGATTTTAGAAGCTGTCTGTTATAGTGAGCGATAGTTTATATCTAATATGTTCAAGTTTAGTTGTACAACGTTATTGAAAATGGTTGCTGATTTACACAAGTAAATTTTTTAAAAATATTGGACAGCAGAATACGTGTACATGTTAGTAATAGATACTTGCGTATAAAACACCAAACATTTAAAAAAAAAACCTCTATGGAACCACATCATAAAAATATTCATCTGAATTTCAGGACGATGCTTACAGAGTAAAAAATAATAAGCAATTAAAAAAGCACATATTTCTTAAGTAGTTCTTTAATTACTTGTGTTAATTTAAATTACAAAAAAACAATGTCGCCCAACTAAAAAATACCATTACACCAGCTGGCTCTATAGATAATTTTAATTATAACAGTTCACACTGTTATAATTAACTGTTTTGCCGAAGCAAAATGTCATGGTCATTTAACAGACCAATCACAGTTTAGTTTGTCAACCCAACATCTGGGCTTGCATCTTTCACACACAGCGAAACCAAACCACTTAGACATACATTTTGTACAATATAATTATTAGGAAAATGATTTTCTAGAAAAATGTTTGTTGATTCTATAAATTTCTATTTAAGGAAAAAAAACCCATGAAAAAATTTATACATCATAGAAAAGAAAAATGTTTTTGAAAAACAAAAAAAAACAAATTATTTTAGGCAAACGGCAAATCCAAACAATAATTAGGTGGGATTTTAGTGATTTTTAAAAAAAAATGTCGTTACTTTAAGCATAGGAGTGAATAACCTTTGAAAAGAAAAATCAACTTTTTAATTTTTTTTATTGCTAAGAGAATTATTTTCGGAGATTCAATTAAAAGTGAAAGTCAATTTGAGAATGATACTTCAAATTCTAGAGTTTTATTTCCATTTTCTTAAAATCATCCCTACATTCCCTAGTTTTCTCTAACCATTATTCTTGTATATAAATAAAAATATATGTATTTTACAACCTTACAGGTTACCGACCCATGCTCTAGCTTCGGATGAGATTTAATGACTATAAACATATTGAAGTGTGGACCATAATGCACCTTCTAATTACATTGTGTAGCCAAATTATATATTATGGCATAGTGTTTTATATTACGGAACAACTTGATGAACAGCAAAAGTTTAATAGTTACTTGTTTGATATAAGAGTACTTAAAGATAAACTATCAATAAACAATTTATTTTAAAAATACTTTTTTTTAAATCTGAATTTCCAGTAGTTATTTTTTTCTTGACACATTTTCATGGCTTCCTCAATACTTTCTTATTCTTATAACTTCATTAAAAATGTTTTATAATACCAATTTCACGGAGAAAATGGATGAACAACAAAACACACTAATAATCACATTATTAAAATATGGAGGAATGAAGTGCTAACAAGACAGCAGACAAGAAGTATCATAAAAGACCATAATTCCAGATGTCTCATTTTAATGGTCATTTTAGCCATGTATTTTTTTAAAAACAGTTCTGTTTGTGTACGATAAAAATAGTTATCACATTGCGCATTTTGAACCAGGAAGTTTGCAAACAATGCTAAAACAGGAGCACCAATGATGGCAAGAGGCTCTCTTTAGGTTAACTAATTAATTTTAGCTTGGTCTAGGTTGGCTTGTCATCATAACGAAGCAGACTTGGGTAAAACGTTGTCCATGCATTTCTGAGCCTCTAATGAAAAATCTCTGGCCTCCTTCTTTATTTTATCAATCACATGCTCGATGGCTTGTCTCCCCTGTTAGATAAGAATTATTTGTTAAAACAATTTTTAAATATTGTTTTTATTTTGGTTCAAGCAATGGTTAAAATTAAACAATTTAGGCAATACAACATTTAAAGAAGAAGTTGTTCAATAAGAGTTAAACACAATCATAATTACAAATATAATGAAGTGATTATCTATTAAGTTTTGCAAGTCAAAACTTAAAAAATGTAACCACAAGCAGTGGCGTAGCGAGGTCGGGTGTAACCCGGTGCGGCACTAAATGGTGTCACCCCCCAGAGGCGTAGCGACCCTTCCCGGGGACAAACTTTCAATTTTCTATTTGCACCCCCTCCCCCCCCCAAACTTTCGATTTGCACCTCTTAAAAGACTTAACACTCGAATTAATCACTTAATTAAGTGGAATTATCATTTTTCTCTATATTTTTGCCTTGGTGTCACCCCCCCCCCCCAAATGGTCCGCATCCCCTCCCCCCCTCACTATGCGTCTGATCACAAGTCACCTTGCTGGCACATTAAACTTTCGATTCGCACCTCTTAAAAGACTTAACACTCGAATTAATCACTTAATTAAGTGGAATTATCATTTTTCTCTATATTTTTGCCTTGGTGTCACCCCCCCCCCCCAAATGGTCAGCACCCCCCGCCCCCCTCACTATGCCTCTGATCACAAGTCACCTTGCTGGCATTGTTTGACATGGCATCAGTGACCATCTGTTCTAGTCTGTTGCAGAGGGGGAGACCTGACACAGTTACTGTGGCTTCCTGTCTCAACAGCGTTCTGAAAAAGTCACAGAAACAATAACCATCAAGTAAATTGTACACAATACTTTACACTACAGAAAACAAACTTGTATCCTCTCAATTCAGTAATCTTTTGCAGTAGAGTGTACTACTGCTGCATAGTGTTTTGGATCCAGGAGCCAAAAAGGAGGTTGTTGAGTCCAACCAGCTCACATTAGGGAAAGTAAAGATGCATGGGAAATAAGACTGACAATACTATCTCAACATATGAAAAGCAGAATGGGAAAATAAAGATGAATGGGAAATAAGAATGACAACACTATCTCAACATATGAAAAGCAGAATGGGAAAATAAAGATGAATGGGAAATAAGAATGACAATACTATCTCAACATATGAAAAGCAGAATGGGAAAATAAAGATGAATGGGAAATAAGAATGACAACACTATCTCAACATATGAAAAGCAGAATGGGAAAATAAAGATGAATGGGAAATAAGAATGACAATACTATCTCAACATATGAAAAGCAGAATGGGAAAATAAAGATGAATGGGAAATAAGAATGACAACACTATCTCAACATATGAAAAGCAGAATGGGAAAATAAAGATGAATGGGAAATAAGAATGACAATACTATCTCAACATATGAAAAGCAGAATGGGAAAATAAAGATGAATGGGAAATAAGAATGACAACACTATCTCAACATATGAAAAGCAGAATGGGAAAATAAAGATGAATGGGAAATAAGAATGACAATACTATAAAAAACATAAATATGCAAACTCTACTACATCTGCCCAACTGACCACCAGGTCTGTAAGGTTAACTTCACATTATTTAAACCTTCTGAAAACATTTAATAGAAAAAACAAGCAAAAAAACAAAACCAAAGAAGAGTGAACTGTCAATAAAAAAACAAAAAATAAACCCCACACATAAACTGACATTTCTAGCAAACATTCCACAAAAACAATGTATACTGACTTGGTTGGGTCTGTAGGGTGCTGTGTGTAAATAAGCTCTTCATTAACTGTGAGAACATGGGCTAATGTTACCTGTATGAGAAAAAGGACAATACTTAAAGATATGGGGCCAGAATGGCTGTGGAATGTATAATACTGTCTCAATGTTACAAACACCTACATTTTGTATAAAAAAAAATATTCCACTAAAATGTTGTTGCAAGATTTTTGTGTTTAAAGACAGTAGAGTAGTAGAGTTGAAAAAGTGAATGATCAAAACAAATATCAGGGTTAACCATCAAGTTCATAATAAAAACTCTCAAGTACATTTTATATTCAGCGCAACTGTAACTATTGTTACATGTAAAGAAAAAAATATTTCAAAATAACAGTGGACAGATATTAGTTTACTACAAAATATACGAATCTCTTAAATTTAAGTCGTTTGTAGAATGGATTACTTACATTTTTGGTCCTGAGTGTGAAGGTTTTACTGTTTGGGTCTACTGTTGAATGTTCACTGGCAAAGCAAGTATCTTGCATTCCTATAAGCTAAAAAAAATAATTACATGTGGTTAGTTTATAAAATTGTACTGTCAATGTAAAATGTTTACTAACTGTAAGATCTTCTAAGATATTATAAATACAGATGTAATATTTATGGGACGGCATGGTCGATTGGTAAATATACAACTGATAACCAAATCTAGGCTAAAGTTAACAGAACGTGCTAGAGTGCACCCTGCTCTGATGGATACCTGGCTCACGTTAGAGACAATAAAGGTGGTTGGTAAGCACTGACCACACTATACTTTCACAAAAACAGGTGAACTATACTGACTTGCCCCGTAGACCATCAGGTTCAAAAGAAAGGGAACTGTACATTACTTTGAATGTATACTTTAAACGTAATCTTAAAATTATTATTTATGTTGTACACACAACACTAGAGCCAATTATTACCAAGGACATATATAAGAAACATTTGACCAGGCCTAAGCCCAGCTAGCTTTAAGTGTACTTCACCCCCAGCTTTGATGAGAGCTGGATTGACCCAAATAAAACCTGAATTACCAAGTAAAGATCTAAAAGATCTGTTTTTCAAACCCAGAACTCTTCAGTATGCATGAGATTCATAAGACCATTATTAAATAAAAAATAACTACATTTTAAAATAAGTTGACTCTGCAGCATTATAATTACATAGACTTGCATTTTATAATTATCAAAGAGTTTTCTTTCAACAATGAAATTAAACACATACAAAGTTCTATTTTTATACTTAAAAAAAACTTACCTTTGTGACCCATATTGGTATACCCCATGATGTTGACATAAGCCTGTGAGTTTTGAGCCTTCCTTCATTATCAACACTTCTGTCAAGAACATCTAGACCAACAACACTTGGGTTGTGAGGATTTGGATACTTCCTCCAAACAGCTGTAACAACAGTATCCCAGCTGTGGCTGTATAAAAAGGAAAGATGATTATAGTTTACCCAGAGATTTCAATTCAGTAAAATTAGTTCACAGCCACTAAAACTAAAATGAATTAGATTTACATAAAAATTGTAAGTCACTATAATATGCTGGTAAAATAAATAATAAAGCTAAAAGCCTAAACTAATAAATTCAAATAGACTACAATAATTTTTGGGCAACAAATTAAGCCACTGTAAAATTTAAATACACTTTCAAATTGGACAGTTCATGGGGCAGGTGAAGTAACCACCTTTTCTGTGACCTCAGCTTATAAAAGGATAGTGTGGTCAGCACTGTGCCCATCTGCCTTGACTTTCCTTTACCCGTGTCAAGTACCCATCAGAGCTGGGTGGACTCAGGTTCTACAGACTCAAGCCTGGGATCAGACTTTCAAGTTAGCAGTCATACACTCAATCATTCGACCAAGCTGTCCCCATTAGTAGTATAATTATAAGAAACTATTTCATTAGTTGGCCAAATTATAATGAATTATTTGTAGATGTCATAGTCAAATGATAGAGACCAAGAATAGGTTGTCCCCTGACCAAACAAGGTGATGTGATGCACTGAGAGAGGAGGCAAAAGCCTGGTAGAAACCCAAGTCTGGCAACTGGTAACATGCATGGGTGTGAGAAATGCTAGATTCTTAATTAACCCTGTTCCAGTTTGCCAGGCTAATGAGCAAATGTAAGCTTCAGGCGGCATTGGATAGAGAGAGAGAAAACTAATTATTAATTCAAAATATAGTAATATTAAATACAAGTTATAGTGGCTAATGACCTATTAACTGATTTATTATTTATTATCATCTAGATTAGAATAGTACTAGACCTTGTAGAGTAGGTAACTAGAACCAGAAATAAGCCAGCCTATAGTATATGCTTGTATTGAATTAAGTTCAGTAAAAAAGTCTCTTAAGTTGTCTTAAGTAGAATGTCGACTGGCTGTAGAGTGGTTTGAGATTGTTGTGTAGTTTGGTTTTGGTCGACAGAGGGGGTGGGGCAAAGGGGTCTGGCACTGTGATGAATGAAAACTTTGTAAATCTCATTTTTAGACTGCAAAAATTGCTGCTCTGTCAAACTATTTTGCAGAGAAATATTTTGTCCATGATATTTTTTGTCCTTGAAAAAATAAATTCTGTGATATTTTTGCTGAGATTATTAGCCCCAATAGTGAGATAATTGTTCATTGGATTGATCCCTAAAAAAATGTGTATATAAGTAGGCCCTATCTGGATTTTATTTAATTTTGATAGAGAAATAGGTTTTTTTTTGTAGGTACCTCATTAAAAATATGCTTTCAAGCCAGAGTGTGTAATGTCAGACAATATATTCTGAAAATGTGAGTATTAGTATTAGCTTGTTAGCAGTATCGTAATCTTGTCTAGTTTTATGGTTAGAAATTAGGGTTAGCATTGAGTTTAGCAAGTCATATGGAAAATAATCACTAACAATAGGCGCTAATCTATCGTTTTAGGTAAGTAAAACCCGCAGAGGCTAGTAGTTTGAAAAAAGGTGACTCATTATTATGGCTTTCATAAAAATATAGGCCTATTGTGATATATCTGTGTCAAATGTAATAGTAATAGACCATTGAATAATAAACCACAATCAATTTCTAAATATATCAATATAGGCCAGAAATTAACTTAAAACAGCAGTGTTTGAGAGCAAGACTTCCTATATCAACAGCAGCCATCTGTAAATTAGAGTTGTTTTCCCTAAATTTCAAACTATATTAATATAATTTTACAAAAAAAAAAAAAAACACTTTAAGATGGCTGCACAAGTAAATGAGCTTGGTTGCATATGTTGAAAACATCGCTAATTACTAAAATTTAGGGCCTAATGAGTCACCTTTCTTTCACACTTTTAGCCACAGCTGATTTCACATACCTAACCTAAAACGATAGATTACCCAGCTAAGCATTCATCATTCATTATCAATTTTTTTTTCTAGACTCTAATTCTAGTTTACTAACTTACTCTAGCTAGCTAGTTAGCTAGGGCCTAGCACTAGCTAGTAGATCTAGATCTAGTAGCATATTCATATGACATGATATAGGCTAGGCTACAGAAATAGAATCTAAATTATAGATTCTAGAACATGAATATGATTTAGATCTATGAATAGATCTAGAGGAGGATCTATATTTTAATTTGATCTAACGATGTCTCGATACTATTGATTACTTACTAACTAGATCTAGTAAATTCTAGTACTAACTTTAAGGATGCATCTATTCGGACCCGGGTCCTAATAGCCTCGGGCGCTATTGGGACCAGCCAATAGAATTGTTTAGATTTAGTATACAAAAGTTCTTTTAAGATGCAGAATATATCTTTTCTGTTGTGATTTTTTCCTTGTAGATCTAATTCTAAATGATATGTTGAGATCTTGCTTTAAATACCCGATATCATTTCTGACAAATGTTATGATGAGCAGGTGTCGTTAGGTCTATAATATAATTAATTAATTATGGCCTATGGTATGAGCTTCTATGGCCGAGCGCATGTTGAGCGCGCATGTTAAAATGTGTTTTATTTATTTTTTTCTTCTGTTAAACGTAATTTGATTTCATAGGTCTGTCCATCCAAATATATATATATATATATATATATATATATATATATATATATATATATATATATAATTGTATAAGATAGCTCATATAGGCTGCAGACTACAGATCCCGGGCCCGTTTTCTTGAACACGAATATCTCGCATGCGTTGTGGTACACTTTAATAGAAGCAAGATGTAACATTTGAACTCACAATGACCCTAAATCTGTTTTTCCCTCTTACTGGCTTGGGAGAGGGGTGGACAACGATGTCGACAAATCTCGACAAGCTCATAGCAATGGTTTTGCTATGACGTATGCTATACGCCTACACTGCGTACACTGTTCACATCTAAACCAAAGTGAACTCACAGTGACCCTGGCTACACCGTGTCGGTATTTTTCTTGCGCGGACCAGAAAACGCGAGCGGGCGATCAATGGAGCAACAATGTTTTTATAATTGGCGTGTTTAAAAACCTAAATCTAGAAAAAAAAAATCTATTTTGTAATAAAAAATAATTAAAAAAGACACAACTCAAAGGGAATTTAAACTTAGATAAATACACTTTACTTCACACAAAATAGAGAGCTTTGTAGGTTCCGATCCCGTAACTGATCGAGATTCTGGAGGTACTGCGTTCTCCACTCGACCACGACGTCTTACGATTATTAAAGTATTTAATGATTTTGTATATACCGCTAAATATATGTTAACGCTAGATAACCCGCATAACTAATTACAATAAAAGACAACAAAAGACGAGCAAATCCACAAGAAAAATCAAATAAACATAAAAGGTATAATTTTAATACAGGTTGTACAAGTGCTTAACGAACTTAATGCCGGGTCCCAATAGAGGCCGAGGCTATTAGGACCCAGGTCCCAATAGCGGCCAAGGCTATTGGGACCCGGGTCCAAATAGCCACTTCCTAACTTTAACTAGATGTCTAATACTAATACTAGGTTGTCTTATTACAATTTTTTAATTAAAATTTTCTGTCACTTATCATATATCATTACAAACCATATCACTTACTGGTTAATTTGAGACCAAATTTAATGGTCTAGCTTAATTAGGGGCCGAGAAAACAAACAAAAACAAAATGACCTATTAACATCTTAAAATGCGAAACTCTTTTTCGCCATCAAAAGATATCAAAAAGTTACGTTGGTTTGTGTTTTCCATTCGTAGCATGATGTCATAGCAATTACGACAACATTGGGTATTTTAGTTACCAAAAAAAACCAAAACATTTTGTTAGAAATAAAACTTTATATTCATTATGTTTATTAAGGAAATATCAGACATATTTATTATAAATTGTATGTACAATGTACAATTTAAGACATTAGGCATTCCATGATGAATTGAACAATCAATACCCATGAAGATGACAATAAAATTAATATCCAAAACTAAAAATAGATCTGACAGAAATCTAGATCTAGTCCTTCTAACTGTAACGACAATACAGTATTATTAGGTAAGATGATAAATGAACTTTTTTTTAACTTTCAAATTAAATACTCTTAGTATTCTCTTCTGTAGTAGCATTAGGTTAGGCGAAGTTTTCTTTTTTTTTTTTTTTTTTACCAGCTATGCGTAGTAAATCTACAGTCCTGTAAGCTTGCGTGAACTTAAAATGACCCTAAGTTGATTTACAATTTGCTTGGTTTATGAGGGGAGGGGTGGGATTGCCCACCGACGATCTCTAACAGCAATAGTTAATGCTGTGACGTATGTATGGTAGGCCTGCTGAACTCACGGTGAACCCTCGACCGTGTCAACATTTTTCTCCCGCAGACAAGAAAATGTAAGCAGTCGATCTCGCGAGCGATGCGAGCGACGATGTTTGGAAAATTTTGAATAATTATTTTTTAAAATATTATTTCGTTCAAAAAAAATTTTTTTGAAAAAGAAAGAAAATAAAACCGCTCGTGGCATTTCCCATGTGAAACAATAAAATAAAGCACAACTGATTTACGTCGGATTCGAACTCGGAGATTCTAGGTCACCTACCGCACCGTTCTGTTTACTCTGCCACACACCACGATGTATTGGAAAATAAAATATTAGACATTTTGTATCAAAAGATTTCTAAAACTAAAAGGAAATAATTACTACTTCATTTATTGATATCATTCTACGTATTAAACTGAGTAACTGCGTAAATTTTACACACAATTCCTATATTTTTAACTAACACAACAGCATTAACGAGGTTGACCAAGTCTAAAAATAAAAAAAAATTGCCAGTAGGCCTAATTAGATCTAGCACAAAAAGGCTCGGAATGAGCATTGTTTAAAATACAATACTAAGGCCTAATTAAAAACTACATATAATTTCATATAAATTATACAGTCGGGTAGGCCACGAAATATTAATATTAACAAGGTTAATGACCGGTCACGAATTATGTTCAATGAAACTAACAGTGCAGTCGGCCTACTTGGCTTGCAGTGAAGAAAAAAAAATCAATATACTTATAAAATTACTAATACTTTAATACAATAATAATGCCCACAATTTCTGCACATGCTAAAACTGAATTATAATTAAAATACTAGACTTAACAGTGCATTCCGCAAAAAACAAAAATTAGTTGTTTCTATCTGACAACTAGCGTAACAATGGCGTAACGTTGCTAAAAATAGCAGCGGCATGGTATTTCTATGGGGAATTGGATTTTGGCAGAAGGGAAGCAGCATCATTGTAATTAATCATGGTAAATATCTCAAATATATATTTATCTAGGAGCTGTCGAGCGCTGATGCCCGGAGGTCGGTCGTTTTTCGTTGCAGTTCAGTTCCTAATGAGAGTGCTCCATAAGAAATGCTTGTATTAATTATTACTACATATCTCGCAAATGTTTCTGGCATTTAAGCCATAGTATCCATTTCCTTAGCATTTCGCATTAAAATAGTGATGAGATATTGCTAGATTAGCAGTTTTTTCATTTTTTGTATATAGGACCCCCCAAAAACACTTAAAATGCGAAAACTAAAAGAGCATGACGTTTCAGGGTCAGGTTCTGACTTCCGGTTTTGGTAAGGAGATCGACTACTAATACTAATACTCAGTTAGTAGTTAGTGGTAGAGTTTATACTAGGATCTAATCGATAGTCTTTATCTATCAAGTCAATACTAGACTAAACTCTATCTAGATCTAGAAATCTAGATCTAGATTCTAGATCTATGATGGATGAGCCACTGAAAATTCCAAATTTTTAATTTTTGGCCTTTGGAACTGACCGTGAACTGTGAAAATAAATCTCTCTTAATAACAAAATTTGTCTAGAAATATTGAAAACCTTCAAACATAATATAGACTAACAACGTTTAAAAATAATCTACTTACTTAAATGTGTGTTCAGAGTTCCAAATACGCATTTTGAGTTTTTAATTTTGTAAAGAATTTGGTCGAATAAAATCGCGTACACAAACAGGTTGACAGGACAATGCCGGAAGGAAAGGAGGTTGAAGGTGATTCTGAGAAGAAGAATGGTAGTTGCAAATAATTATAGTCCACAATCTAAATTTGTTAGTTAGGCATCATTAACAGAGTTTCTTCCAGGCATCTCTTCGGGGGGGCGAAGCCCCCCCGAAAATTTTTTACCGCCCCCCCGAACGAAATGAAATTTATATAATTTATATAGAAAATATATACTTTTAACAGTGTCCGCCCCCCCGAAGAAAGTTTACCGCCCCCCCGAAGATTTCAAGTGCCCCCCCGGAGAAAAATGTCTGGAAGAAACACTGATCATTAATCTCATCGATTAGTTAACCCCCCCCCCCCCCCCCAAAGAAAGTCTACCGCCTCCCCCCCCCCCCGAATGAAATGGAAGTTACTTAGAAAACATACTTTTACCAGCTAAATATCTAGCTAAAGTAGTAATAAAGTAAGTACCACACTAGAATATAAATTTAAATAGTAAAGTAGATCTAAACGTAGAACTAGAATCCAGAGGCGTAGCGAGGGAGGAGGGGGGGGCGGAGGTACATATGTACCCGGTCGGGCAACGTCCTTAAGGGGCGCCAAACTGGGGTTGGAAAAACAAATTGAAAGTTTGAGGGGGGGGGGTGCTCATTGAAAGTTTGAGGGGGGGGGGTACAATTGAAAATTGAAAGGTTTTCCCCGATGGGGGGGGGGTGCGAATTGAAAGTTTGTCGCAGGCGCTGGGAAGGGTCGCCACGCCTCTGCTAGAATAATACAAGATCTACAAGAGGCTTCCTAGTTTTCACTACTTTTTACCCTATCGTATACGAAGTTTATAGACCTATAGGGAGTAGATCTATTGTAATCGTGCAAAAAATCGTAATCGAGACTCTCGCAAATCTCGAAGTTTTAAATTAAACCTCTCTGAGTCGAAAAAACTTAGTTTTTCAATTTTTGTCTGTGCGTCTGTGAACACTATAACTTTAGTGCTGTTTCAATTATTTTGACAAAATCTCATATGTAGGTATTATATCAAATTTGTAGTTTCATGTAATCTTATGAACGATTTCCGATAACCGGAAGTGGTACTTATTCAACTTCCGAGAAGTAATTCATTGTCTGCGCATGCTTCTTTCAAATTTTGAACGATTTCCGATAGGCGGAAGTCTATTTCCGTGTGAATACTATTACTTGAGCACTGTTCCAGATAGTTAGACGGAATTTCGTATATAAGGATATACTTGGATTAATTTAAGTTTCTTTTAGGGCCCTCCGTTAACCGGAAGTGGTAGACGAAATTGTAAACATAGGTATAATAAAAAGATCTTATTCTGTCGAAATTTGAGTGATTTTCGGTTAATTATGAATTTTAAGTATGAATTTTGCGCTATTTCAGATTTCTGAAGAAAATATTACTTCTACCAGATTGATTTCTTCAAAAACATTGCACGTATGTCTAAACTCGATGACAATCAAATAATACATTTAATTTGGCTGAATTAGAATCAAGATGCTAAATTAATTTTTAAAAAAATTGACCAGTTTCCTTTATAAAACTCATTTTCAGCTCTAATATAATCAACGCACTTTGTTTACGTTCATTGGGTTAGGTGCGCAATTTTTAATTTTTTTTTAAAAATATGCGATTCTTTTTTTAGTCAAATAAAATAACAAAAAAAAAAAAAAAAAAAAAAAAAAAAAAACGAAATTAGGTAGCACACAAGAAAGTGTAGGGGAGGTCACTCCCGCTTTATTTAATGTTGATCTGAGTCCTTAGATCCTAGAATCCAGACTTGAATCTAGATTTTTTCTAGATCTAGATCTAGATCTCGACTCCTAGAGAGATATTTTCAACATTTTAAAGATAGATCTAGATCTAGATTATTCTAGATCTAGGCTACTTCGTAGGACTGCGCAGATTTAAAAGTAGGTCATGATTTCTGCTGATGTTATGACACTGTCACTGTCTGTCACACTGTCTGTTGTGACACCATGCATGAGAACCATCATCATTATTCATTCATCATTACCATGACGTAAACCTGCTATAACTGAAGAGAAAATAAAACAATGCTACATCCAACTGTATTAATAATTCAATAGCCTACTACTAGATCTAGAGTCTATAGATAAACATCGTTACTGTTAACTGTACAGTGTACACACACTCTATAACTATAACTATAAAGGACAATAAAAATAAAGGTCTATAAAGTGTATAAAGCTATTATTCTAAGGGTGGCACCAACTGCAAAATTTACAGAGGAAAGAAAGTTTAGTAGTTTAGTTGAATATTTTCAGTTACGGATAATTAAAGTCAATCAATGACCATGGTGGGGGGGGGGGGGGGTGGTGTGTGACCATATCTAATAATTTGCTAAAGTATAGGATATATATATATATATATATATATATATATATATATATATATATATATATATATATATATATATATATATATATATATATATATATATATTATATATATAGTATTATATAGGCCTATATATATATATATAATATATAGGCTATAGGGCCTATATATATATATATATATATATATATATATATATATATATAGGCTATATATATATATATATATATATATATAGGCATATATATATATATATATATATATATATATATATATATATATATATATATATATATATATATATATATATATATATATATATATATATATATATATATATATATATATATATATATATATATATATATATATATATATATATATATATATATATATATATATATATATATATATATTAAATATGCATTTATAGGGTTATATATATAAAATATGTATATAATTTCATTAAACATAAATATTCTTTTTTTTGTGCCATCAGCAGTAATAGATCTTAGAAAACTACAGAAGGGACATGTCAAAACTGAAAAAGAACAAAACACTGCCAGTTCACATTGTTGAACAACATAATGATGTAAGTCTTTCAGTTTTAAAAAAACTGTGTATTTTAAAATTTCTTTTTAACTCTTTGGTCAGTCGGCTGTCAAAATAAAATTCATGTAGGCCTACGAATCAAATGTTTAACTACAATACAAAGAAGTATACATCTTTCATTAAATCTGTTCACAACATCTCAAATTTTGATTGTGTGAAATCTTAAAACTATTTTAGTTAAATTACATGTGACTTTTTGTATTTTATGAACATTTTCAATATTGGATAAAAAAATAATTAGAATTTAAAATTTTCCATTTGAATTAAAAAAAATAGCATTTAAAATTTTCCATTTGAATAAAAAAAAAACTAGCATTTAAAATTTTAATGTTGAATATTGTTTCTCATTTTTGTTTTCAGGTGGTGCCATTTATTCATCGTGCCATTGCTTCTAAATTGCTACAATTCACTGAAATACCCATAATTCACCTGGACTCTCACCCTGATCTGTTGATACCAATCAACATGCAAGCTGATCTTGTTTTTCAACCTCAGTCATTATTCCAGTATGTGTTCTAAACATGTTATTTATTCTGTTTACATTATTTATTATTATACTTTGAAATAACTTAAAGAATTAAATAGGAAAACAAAAGATACAGATACTTTTCAAATAACTTTTGCTATGGAATACGTTGAGTCAAAATATTAGATATGTATTCTACTTTACACTAAGATCTGTTTAAATTTTACATAATACATCACCTAGAGATTTATTATTGAGAATGTTTTGAAATCATTAATTTTATTTTTTTATTTTTAAACTTTGAAATTGAAATACTGAGCTATTTAAGGTTTTTGCAGCATTCACTAGAAATATATTGCTAAGGGCACCATTTTACAAAGTATCGTATGTTGCATTTATCAGATGAGCTATTAATTAAATAACTTTTTTTTTCTATTTTTGTGTACAGGTCAATCAGCATAGAAAACTGGCTCCTCCCACTAGCTTATGCAAAACACATCAGTCACATAGTATGGGTGAAACCACCCTGGGCCAATCAGATCCAAGCATCAGAACAAGAGTTTACCATTGGAAAATCTGTGCAATCAGGAAAAATTAGGTAGAGTATTTTGGTTGAAATAGGTAATTATCTTAGTCAAATGTAAGAGGAGTGAAACTACTATAGCCAATTCTGTGCAAAATATTTAATGAGTTATTGCCCTTAAAATTATCTAGTTCCCTCCTAACAAAATCAAGCACAGCAATACTACATTAAAATAAAATCTCAACAGGAACAGGTATGCATTAATGACACCCAGGGGAACAATTTATAGCAATGAATACAAGGTTTTTTTCTTCAATAGAAACAGCATGTGTAAACTATCTTGTAAATGGATTTAATTCACACATTGAATAAACATGATTACTAAAGGCGTATAATTATGCAATGATTTTCTATTTCTAATACCTTCCAGAATTTGATTTGATAACTTTATGTTAACAATAATAATTGCACCCATCTTATCAACCCGGACTCTTCCATTAATCACATATTGCATTTATTGATTTGTTAAAAAAATGTACAGTGGTCAATTTGTATTGAAACTAACTTTAATTAAAATGTATAGCAATTGCTAAGGTAATAAACTACTTGTTGGTTAACCAAATCCACATAAATAGTGCCCTCGAACCTTAAACCTAACACCCTAAACAGCTTAAGGTATAATTAGCATTGGTTGAACCTATACAAGTATGTTTGTCCAGCATATCATTTCTAGATCTCTAACTTTACATTATAATGATTGGAACTAAAATTTACTGAAAACATAAATCACAATAATTTTTATTTATCTGCCAGGTTGTCTTGTAAAGAAAATTATTTTTTGACGGATGGATTGTTCTCCACAGTCGAAGGTTTGACAGACACGAGCAAGGTCAAGCTGACAGTGGTTGAACTGGTGCCAAAAAACTGGCAGGAATTGCCTTCAAGGTGTGTTAAGTCAACCTGCGACTCCATTGTAGTATTTGGCTAGCTTATTTTAATTTCTTTTGTTTTGGAAAGATGTACTCACCTATACCACATTGCTCATTAGCCTGAGTCATTATTTTTCCTAATGTGAATTAACTTGAAAAACTTAGTATATTTTGCAGTATATTCGTTATATAGATTAATAGCTTATGATGTAGACGATTGTCCCAGAATATCAAACAACATATACATTTACATTTTGATCCTTAACTCAAATCCTCCAATAATGACAATTGTGAAATAGGTGTGAAGATATGTTTATGCTAGATTTTAACTCTAAGTAAAGGATAACAAAGTATTTTATCTTGAATGACCATACCATTACAAATATACTTACATCAGTCATCCCTTAAACCTTATTGGAGTCTTTGGGGCATCACAATTGATTTTCTCACCATTTTCTACCATCTGTCGGTCCTCTATGCTCTGAGTAGTTCTGAAATGGGAAGCCTAGTCTGGGCTTAAGGTCCTTAATCCAATGACCTCTTTACTTTCCCCCTTTTCTCAACCCCTGTCACAGTGCCCTGCATTATTGCTTTGGTTAGGCTGTTGGTTCATGTGACATGCCCAAACCATCTCTATTCTTGTTTTGGCTGTGCTTAGTAGACTCAAAGGAACCAATTGGAGACGTGCTTAGTTGTAGGTACAATTGTGGAAAGGGGAGGCAATTCAGTTGTTCTGATTTGCCATTTTTCATAGTTGTTCACAGTATTACTAATATTACTATGTGTTTGATTACCATAGAATTTTTTTTTATTCTGTTGAAGCTGTGCTGCCTCTACTAGCTCAAGCAGTGACAGCCATTCAGGGATATTTAGATCGTACAAAGAGTGGACTCATCACCTACAAGATGCTGTTCAGAGCAAACCTTACATCCTTGACATTGACCTAGATTTTTTCTCCACCGCCAACCCATTTAAGAACTGGTTAGGGCCAGAAGAGGAGGAGGTTGTCAGAAGACTGTACCACTGTCCTTCACCCTCAGATCTGAGTGATGAGGTACGGGGTCGTTTCTATTTGTGTGTAGCAACTAGGTCTAGGACCCCAATTCCCCCTCAGGTAGTAAACCCCCCATCCCCCCCACTCCACAATTAAAATAATGTCTAGATTGTTTGGTTGATGTTAATCAACAGGGAGTTTATGTCCTACACCTCAATTTCAGAAAGCTACAGTATTTCTCCTGTACACATTCTACCTTTAAACCACACCTTCACCCAGTACAGTTGAACACTAAACCACACTATCACCCAGTACAGTCTACCACTAAACCACACCTTCACCCAGTACAGTCTACCACTAAACCACACCATCACCCAGTCTACCTTTAAACCACACCTTCACCCAGTACAGTCAACCACTAAACCACACCATCACCCAGTACAGTCTACCACTAAACCACACTATCACCCAGTCTACCACTAAACCACACTATCACCCAGTACAGTCTACCACTAAACCACACCATCACCCAGTCTACCACTAAACCACACCATCCCCCAGTACAGTCTACCACTAAACCACACAAGCACCCAGTACAGTCTACCACTAAACCACACCATCCCCCAGTACAGTCTACCACTAAACCACACCATCCCCCAGTACAGTCTACCACTAAACCACACCATCCTCCAGTACAGTCTACCACTAAACCACACCATCCCCCAGTACAGTCTACCACTAAACCACACCATCACCCAGTCTACCACTAAACCACACCATCCCCCAGTACAGTCTACCACTAAACCACACAAGCACCCAGTACAGTCTACCACTAAACCACACCATCACCCATTCAACCACTAAACCACACAAGCACCCAGTACAGTCTACCACTAAACCACACCATCCCCCAGTACAGTCTACCACTAAACCACACAAGCACCCAGTACAGTCTACCACTAAACCACACCATCACCCATTCAACCACTAAACCACACAAGCACCCAGTACAGTCTACCACTAAACCACACAAGCACCCAGTACAGTCTACCACTAAACCACACCATCACCCATTCAACCACTAAACCACACAAGCACCCAGTACAGTCTACCACTAAACCACACCATCCCCCAGTCTACCACTAAACCACACCATCACACAGTACAGTCTACCACTAAACCACACTATCACCCAGTACAGTCTACCACTAAACCACACCATCCCCCAGTACAGTCTACCACTAAACCACACCATCCCCCAGTACAGTCTACCACTAAACCCCACCATCCCCCAGTACAGTCTACTACTAAACCACACCATCCCCCAGTATAGACTACCACTAAACCACACCATCCCCCAGTACAGTCTACCACTAAACCACACCATCCCCCAGTACAGTCTACCACTAAACCACACCATCCCCCAGTACAGTCTACCACTAAACCAAACCATCACCCAGTCTACCACTAAACCACACCATCCCCCAGTACAGTCTACCACTAAACCACACCATCACCCAGTACAGTCTACCACTAAACCACACCATCACCCAGTCTACCACTAAACCACACCATCCCCCAGTACAGTCTACGACTAAACCACACCATCCCCCAGTACAGTCTACCACTAAACCACACCATCCCTCAGTACAGTCTACCACTAAACCACACCATCACCCAGTACAGTCTACCACTAAACCACACCATCCCCCAGTACAGTCTACCACTAAACCACACAAGCACCCAGTACAGTCTACCACTAAACCACACCATCCCCCAGTACAGTCTACCACTAAACCACACCATCCCCCAGTACAGTCTACCACTAAACCACACCATCCCCCAGTACAGTCTACCACTAAACCACACCATCCCCCAGTACAGTCTACCACTAAACCACACCATCCCCCAGTACAGTCTACCACTAAACCACACCATCCCCCAGTACAGTCTACCACTAAACCACACCATCCCCCAGTACAGTCTACCACTAAACCACACCATCACACAGTCTACCACTAAACCACACCATCACCCAGTCTACCACTAAACCACACAAGCACCCAGTACAGTCTACCACTAAACCACACCATCCCCCAGTAAAGTCTACCACTAAACCACACCATCCCCCAGTAAAGTCTACCACTAAACCACACCATCACCCATTCAACCACTTAACCACACAAGCACCCAGTACAGTCTACCACTAAACCACACAAGCACCCAGTACAGTCTACCACTAAACCACACCATCACCCATTCAACCACTAAACCACACAAGCACCCAGTACAGTCTACCACTAAACCACACAAGCACCCAGTACAGTCTACCACTAAACCATACAAGCACCCAGTACAGTCTACCACTAAACCACACAAGCACCCAGTACAGTCTACCACTAAACCACACCATCACCCATTCAACCACTAAACCACACAAGCACCCAGTACAGTCTACCACTAAACCACACAAGCACCCAGTACAGTCTACCACTAAACCACACCATCACCCATTCAACCACTAAACCACACAAGCACCCAGTAGTCTACCACTAAACCACACAAGCACCCAGTACAGTCTACCACTAAACCACACCATCACCCATTCAACCACTAAACCACACAAGCACCCAGTACAGTCTACCACTAAACCACACAAGCACCCAGTACAGTCTACCACTAAACCACACCATCACCCATTCAACCACTAAACCACACAAGCACCCAGTACAGTCTACCACTAAACCACACTTTCTCCCAGTACAGTCGAACTCTAAACCATACCATCACCCAGTCTACCACTAAACTACACCATCACAACCTACCACTAAACTACACCATCACAGTCTACCACTAAACTACACCATCACAGTCTACCATTAAACCACACCTTCCCCCAGTACAGTCGAACACTAAACCATACCATCACCCAGTCTACCACTAAACTACACCATCACAGTCTACCACTAAACTACACCATCACAGTCTACCATTAAACCACACCTTCCCCCAGTACAGTCGAACATTAAACCATACCATCTTCCAGTCTACCATTAAACCACATATTTCCCCAGGACACAGTCTCCATTAAAAAGCTATTCATTTTTGTAAAAAAATATTTCTAAATGTTATTGTAACACTGCCTAATTTTTTTCTAGAGTATCATTGCCTTCACCAGAAGGAGAGAAAAACAATTAGATGAGCTTGAACACATCTTTACATCCTTACATGAGGAATACAGCAGAGAGGAATTATTGGACCTAACTCTACCAGATTTACTTGCATTGAAATATGTAAATGACATTAGTTTAGAAAATAAATTGTAAGTTTACATACAAGCAATAATGTTTTTTTTATATTAAAATATTTTTTACTAAAATGATATTTTGTTTTTCTTGTACCTAGAAGGAAATTAATTTTTATAAAATGTTTTTTTTTCCTGTGTGTACAGAACAGAAGACCTGTTGGGTTTAGTGAAAAAGGTCTCAGCTGACCCAAGGGAAATAACTCCACTACAGTTACATGACTTTGGCTGCACCTTGGATGACACTGAGCTTCCTCACCACATTAGCTCCCCTGAGCAAGTGGCTGCTCTCCAGTCAGCATTTAAGGATGTCTTGGAACAACTCCCCAAACCTGCCATCATTACTATAGCCAGGTACACAGGATTTATTATATTTCTACTATTGCTGAGACATTTTTTAAATGTTGTTTAAAACAAAAAGAGAATAAAACTCATTCAGATGTGACAGCCCATAAAAGCAGCTGAGGTGAGTTTCCGTGACCACAGCAAACGAGGGTCAGTTCTATGCCACCTTATTAAATTTCAGGTGTCCTTCAAAATGGATTCAGATATGTCATAGAAACTCATGCCTGACTAGACCTTAAAACCATCAAGCTTAAAAATGTGTACACAACCCCACAACCATGAGTTGATGTAGTTACCTGATGTTAGGACTTCAGCATGTGAAGAGACTGTTTTGTTAGTCATCTTTCATAATTGCCTTTATGGTGAACTAAGTGTTAAAGAGCTGCTGAGAAAATTTTACACCATTGCTTTAAACTCTTATCATTTAAATAACAATGGCTTTCATAAACATTGTTTTAGGTCTAGCTTAGATGACTTGGGTACCAAAATTGTCCATCTTGTATATAAGACTGTCACAAAGTTTTTCATTATTTCAGATCAAGCTTAGATGACTTGGGCCCCAAAATTTTCCATCTTGTATATAAGACTATATCACAAAGTTTTTCATCATTTCAGATCAAGCTTAGATGACTTGGGCCCCAAAATTTTCCATCTTGTATATAAGACTATATCACAAAGTTTTTCCTCATTTCAGATCAAGCTTAGATGACTTGGGCCGCAAAATTTTCCATCTTGTATATAAGCCTGTCACAAAGTTTTTCCTCATTTCAGATCAAGCTTAGATGACTTGGGCCGCAAAATTTTCCATCTTGTATATAAGACTATATCACAAAGTTTTTCATCATTTCAGATCAAGCTTAGATGACTTGACCCCCAAAATTTTCCATCTTGTATATAAGACTGTCACAAAGTTTTTATAATTTCAGATCAAGCTTAGATGACTTGACCCCCAAAATTTTCCATCTTGTATATAAGACTGTCACAAAGTTTTTATAATTTCAGATCAAGCTTAGATGACTTGACCCCCAAAATTGTCCATCTTGTATATAAGACTATATCACAAAGTTTTTCATCATTTCAGATCCAGCTTAGATGACTTGGGCCCCAAAATTTTCCATCTTGTATATAAGACTATATCACAAAGTTTTTCATCATTTCAGATCCAGCTTAGATGACTATTGCCCCCGAAAGGTTGTGGACACATATCAAAAGGATGTCATTAAAATAATAGAGGATGTGTATGGCCAGATAAATGTGACACAGGACTATGACTAGATGGATTTATTTTAACAAGTCATTTTTAACAATAACAATACTATTTTACTGTTAACATTAAACATTTTCATTTGAATGTATTGGTTGCAATCGTGTGAATGTTGAATGGGATTGAATGGTTGCAATCTTGTTAATGTTGAATAGGATTGAATGGTTGCAATATTGTAAATGTTGAATGGGATTGAATGGTTGCAATCTTGTTAATGTTGAATAGAATTGAATTGTTGCAATCTTGTTAATGTTGAATAGGATTGAAATGTTGACAAAGGGAATGTGGAATGTGACTGAGAATATTGGTATAGTGAATGTTTGAGATATGCAAAAGTGAAGTTGAAATGTGGATATAGTAAATGTTGAATTAGGTTAAAATGTAAACAAAGGGAATCTTCAATATGAATGAACGTTGACTTACAAAAGAAAACTTAAAATGCTGTTTTTAAAAAGTATATCATAAATCTACTAAAACTTCATTTAGCCAAATAAATGAAAGTGGAAGCTATTAAATAATGTGTAATCTTAGTTCATTACAGCTTTGTCTAGTTAAGCACCAGTGTTATCATGTTGTTGTGCCCAGGTAGTGTACACATCCATTGGTTTGCCTGACACAAGACTTTTAAATGTTTCGAGTTAGCTTAGTAAAATAAAACATCAGAGCAAGAGGGGTCGGCGTGGTCGAGTCGATAAAAGCTCATGAGGCTCGTTAGCTGGGAACAGCCTCTCTTCTAGGAGAGACAAATCCAAAATCAAACAACTGCTGACTTGTAGTTTGTTCTTGGTTGGACAAAGGCTATGGAAGCAAATCCAAAAAGAAAAGCAGGCTGAAATCGGAGTCAATGGCGCATTACCAGTTGACACGTATCTATAAATTGTGATGGAGGCGTGGTCGAGTCGGCAAAAGCTCATGGTTGATAAATTCGAAAAAAGTCTCGAGTTCAAACCCTCTGGCTGATAAGGCTCGATCCCTTCCAACACTTCAAATTAAGAACTAAGAAGAAGAACAGAGCAAGTTTTCTGCAAGGGAGCACAGCAAGTTGAATTTTTTTTGTTGGGTGTGAACGTGTATCAGAGAGTTTGGGTAGGGGATTTACTTATATATGGGATGATGAATCGGAAGAGGAGATTTTTACATCGGTGGTATTGTCTGAACATGCCAAACTTATATCAATGTTTGAGGCTTTGCTTTTCCCATAACTTCTGAGTGTTGAGTTACTTCATTTTTCTCCGTTGGGTAAAAAATTAATTTGCCCATACAATTAACACTAATGTATATGTTCCTATATGCTTTACAGTATACGAAATCGAACCTATGTGTCCCCCCGTGTTCCGTAGTTAAAAAAAACCTACATGTTTCCTTATGTACATAACATTTCTGTTTTATACAAGAGCTCTATACACCAGGGGGGGGGGCGACATATGTCCCCGGGCGCCGACCTTAGGGGGGCGCCAAATTGAAAGTTTGAGGGGGGTGGGTGCAAATGAAAAGTTCGAGGGGGGGTGCAAATTAAAAGTTCGAGGGGGGGGGGGGGGTGCAAATGAAAAGTTTGTCCCCGGGCGCCGGGAAGGGTCGCTAAGCCTCTGCTATACACTCCCTTATGTTCCCTAGTATAAAAGATAATACTTGGAGGTCCGTATCCTACTTCCTGTACAAAGTGACGCTGCATCTGTTCAGGAAGGTGGAGGATATCAAGAGGATGATGTGAAACCGTCAGTAGACAGTCACGTGGTCATGAGGTCAAGGTGTTCGAATCGTTGTGACCGAAGTATGACGGTGGTTGTAAAAATTGGGTTTAGAAAGCGTGTAGTCATACATGGTTGACCTTATTTGTTTAATTGTGGACGAACACGATGTATGGCGAGCTCTATCTAAAGAACCTTATATTTGCACTATGCTGATGTAGAAGACTAAATTAATGAATGTATCGATTAGCTATTTAATTGCACATCAATGTTTTTTTTTTCTATTTTCGTATTTCGATTTCTTTTATACCCTGTTCGTATGTTCATTCGGTATTTTCTTCAGTCTGCTGACGTGAAAAAACAAATCTCAACACTAAAATAAAATGCTGAGAAGCCCACATCTTTATTATTTGCGCACCTTTGACACAATCGTGTTGAACCAAACAAAAGTTCACCTAATCATCGGGTAACAAAGAAATACGTTATAATTTTTTACTCAGAAGTAGAATCTAAGTGATTATCATGTAAGTTAAAACTAGAATGATTTTATGCAAATAGATTATAATAAATCGGTTGTTTCTGTTTGACTTATCGTATTGTAGAATAATGACTGTGTATGAACAAAAATTGTAACTTATAAATAATATAGATCTAGATCTAGAATCTAGATTTAGATTCTATTTTTGATTAATGGATGTAGATCTAGATCTATATGTAATTAATGGATTTCGATCTAGATCTATATGTGATTAATGGATTTAGATCTAGATCTATATGTGATTAAAGGATCTAGATCTAGATCTATATGTGATTAATGGATCTAGATTTATATGTGATTGTCTCTGTGTATGTGTATGCTTTAACAGGATAACTTGCGTTCCATTTCGGTTAGGTCGACATTTCATATATGCTTATTGGATCGTATTCCTAGATTTCTCTAAACGTTTGAGCGATTTCAGGCAACCTTATTTGCGGCTAGATCTTCGGTTTCACACACACAAAATCCTTCAGCATAAGCTTGCTGCTCTAGGGGCGTGTACACGAACGTTTAGGGAAGATCACTCTCCCCTTTTCTTGTGTTTATTGTTTACTTTTTAGCATGAAATAATATGACTAATTGCGTACCCATTATCTATCATTATCTCCCAAGCTCATGTGTTCCAAGTCGGCCCCTGTTGTTGTCCACAACAATTCGATGAAGAACTCAGTGGTCATCATTGATACTGGCTTCACAACTTGGGTCTTCGATGAGGAGTCGAACTTGGGTTGGAAATGTGTGATCGTTGAGGACAGCTCATGTGAGTCGAACTTGGGTTGAAAATGTTTGATTGACTGTACATGTGGTTAACTACCCTGACAACTATTTCCCCCTTGTCAACAGTGGAGTCAGTCGAGACATCAAACCCCATGGCGTCGCGTATACTGGATGGACCCGATAGACTGGCGTTGGTCGTCTTTGTCAACATCAGCCCGACCTTCCATGGAGTTTGGTCAGCTTTAAAGCTATTGATTTCGCACGAGATCGTTACCAAGGTAACCGATAATCCAAACAATCATAGTTAAATGACTAGATTATAAATGTTTTGCTATGCTAGTCTTTAGTTATAGTTTAATATAGGCATACAAAGATGTTGCTACAGCTGACAAAGAACATCCGTTCGACGACTGACACTACTACGACATGTATTTGCAGGTCAGGTCAGAGGCCAAAGTTCATCAAGCCTACATTGTTGCTGAAGAGCTCTCGACTTGGCTGACGGAGGAGCTGGACGTATACCGCAGCAAGCAAAAACCCCGTGGTCAAATGGAGTTCTGGAACCCGCCTCAGCTTCCCTTGACCTATGACCCCAGCGGATCTCCAGTGCGTATAAGAAAGGACATTCAGGAATTGCTCAAGGCCGAGCTGCTTACCATCAATGATGTTCAGAAGGGGAAAGAGCTCCCGCCAATGATACTGACTCCCCAGAAAGAGAAAATAAATGATGTTCCGATGGACGGAGAAGTGTCAGAGGAGAAACTGCCTGATGTGGAAGTCGATAACCTGGCTGATAACGTCACCTGTCATACCGGACATACCGGAAAATATACATCATTTTGGCTATTTTTAGCTGTTTTCCTTTTGCAGTTCTCTTGTAAGTAATCGTAGTTAAAGCTTCTGTGTGTGTGTATGTGTGTGTTGACACTTTTGACAAACTACAAATGAACATATACAGACAGACTTACATATATTTGTATATAGTTTATATATGTGTATGTATATATATATATACATATATATATATATATATATATATATATGTAAGCCCTGCTAGGGGGGGATACCTTAAAATCTACCCTACCCTTCCCTAGGCTTATCTACTTAACTACAGTCCGGTCAGTGCAACCGTGGTAGAACCCACAGTGGTTAAACCCTAACCTTAGTCTAAATAATAAGCTACTAAAATATACTAATCTAATTACTGTCTAACCAACTGACTATTGACTAAGCCAATCCTAGTCAATAACAACATCATAAAACAATCAGGTAAATGCACACACGCATTCACACCAGTTTAGGAAACACTCCTAAACACACTGGCCTAAACCACGTGGTCCGAAACACACGCCAAGGGTTTAGAAAACATCAAAAATACATTTTAATTCAAAATAACAGAATAACACACCACGTGCATACCAGACATGCCGATGCTCACTATCTCGTTTTAGACGAAAATGAAAGAAAACGAGAAACATCGACCGTCGCATTCATACAAATCACATAAAGATAAAGTATAAAAACAAATACCTCCACGCGTGCGGTGCGCCACGCAGAAACCTGACCCGACCTACATCTCGCCGCGGGTCAAAAAAAGGAAGAAAATCACTCCGAGCGGTCAATTTATACTGACCGCTTCGAGCGGAAGGGGGACCCCGTGCTGTTCCCCATTGGACCACCATGCACTCCCAGATTCGCAACAAATAAAATAATACAAAAAAATAATCCATTCACCCGCTCACATTCACCCCTTTTAAAAATCTTACAGTCCCTGTAAGACAAAAAAATACATATAACAATCTTATAATAAAACATGCACCCATCTCTTACACCAAGCCTATAAGCTTGAATGCAAAAAAACAATTTCCATTAACATTAATCTTGCGTCTCTGTGCTCCCTAAAAAAACTCAAGGCACCAAGATAGTGTTCCCTTCACTGAGGGCTGATTCGCGCTACTAGTCCTGTCGGTCGTTCATCCGGAAGGGTAAGGGTCAGCCTAGACCCGCCCGCTACTATTGGCACACGTTGCCTGTCCATCTCGTCCACTACACAACACACCGTGTTCTAGTTCTGGCCTCAACATCAGACCACCGGTAAAACGTCCGCTTAGTTGGTTCCGATATGACGCCAACGCCCTTCACCACTGGCTCTCCGACTGTTACCCGCCCCCAACGATCGTGCCTCCGCTTCGACACACCTGTGGGGCGGGTGTCCAGTAGCCCTCTTTGTGGGTCAAGGAATTGACGTCATAGGCCTCTCGTTGGTGGGGAGCGTCCGCTTGGTTGGGCCAGGTGGTGACTCAACCGCCTTGCCCCACTGGCTCTCCGACTGTTACCCGCCCCCAACGATCGTGCCTCCGCTTCGACACACCTGTGGGGCGGGTGTCCAGTAGCCCTCTTTGTGGGTCAAGGGATTGACGTCATAGGCCTCTCGTTGTTCACCGGTCTGCCGTACACACCAGATCCGCGCCACGCCCGTGTGTGTTGTCCAGTCTAGACCACACGAGGCCGCCATCTTCATCACACGCCAGGTCCAGTGCCACACACCGTGCCTTGTC